TAGACCACCAAGGGGGTTGGAGACACCACTCGATCCAGTGGATTTCAAACCTAAAAAGCAGGAAAAACTCCTTCCCAAAGGAAGGCTTCCTGAGAAGGCAGAAGGACCTGGCAGAAAATGAGGAGAGGCCACGTCCTGCCTGCGAGGCCTCCCCCAGGGCCCGGAAGGGACATCAGGAAAGCTGCTCCAGGCCAGCCCTCTGCAATGGAGGCGCATTCTGGGGCCCAGAACAGCCAAGCCGTGCTGATGAGCCTGTTGATGCTTGTAGGGACTTTACATGGCAGAAGCAGCTCTCCTGGTTCCCGCCAAGTAGCCCATCTCCCAGTGAAGGGGGTAAGAAAGACCACATTGCCCCCACTGCGCAGATGAGGAAGTTCAGCCTCAGAAGAGTCAGGTGACTCACCGAAAGCCACACAGGCAGTGGCAGGACTGCCTTGGGGCTCAGCAGAAGGGTGAGGAACTGTGTTGAAGGATGGCTCTCCAGCTGTGGCTCTGCCAAAGGCCAGCCGGTCCCTGACCCCTGGGGGCTCTGGGGGCTCCCCCAAGCTGAGCATCAGTGCTAGCTGTGAAAGGAGAGGGAAAACAGGCTCCCTTTTCCCTGTTCCCCAGGAACTTGTAGGAACTAGGCCTGAGATGCCTCAGCTGCCTCCAGGCCACCCTTCCCTCCCTCCAGTGGCCCTTCAGGACCCTCCCCAAAAGGTTAATTACCGAATCATCACATCAAAGGAAATTGCACTTTTGTGCCTTAAAGACCAAACTGAGCTTCAGCAACACGGTTATTTATGGTCTCTAATAAGCATTTTCTGGGTGTGATTAACCTTTATGCCAAAATCACACTGGGAATTGGGATGGCAGCTTCATTCCAGCCCCATTCTGTGCTGGCCCTGGGGGTGGGGGTGTGAGTAGCAGCTGCAGCAGACTGGAGCAGGCCATGTCAGAGCCCGGCCCTCCACCCGCTCCACAGGCTCCTGCACCACCTCCTTCTCCCCTGCCCATCCCTTCTGCCAGAGCCCTGTCTTGACCTGCTCCTGGCCAGCCAGAAGGCGCGACTCTCCTCATGGTTCATCTCCTTGAAAGACAGGCAGGAGCACCTGCTTGCTGAATCCCAGCTCCTAAAAACAGTTCTGTGACACTGGGCACATCAACTACCCCAGACTTAAAATGGGAGCATGATACCCGCCTGGTCTGCTTTCCCTTCCATGGCAGGGACCCTCTAGATCTTTGGCAAATCCTTTTACGAGATGCTATAATTGAGCTGCACACACCCTTGGCCTCAGATTTTAACCTTGAAGGTTTGGCTCTTTGGTGAGTGGAGAGATTTGTAGCTGAGATGCAAGTTTTATTTGGGGCCTTGGAGCTGCCAGGCTGGTGCACGGAAGCAAGGCATTAGCCAGTGAGTGAACCTCGTGCTCTGCCAGCTTCAGCTTCAGTGCCGTTTTGATTTTCTCTACTAGTTGGAAGATAGTAAATCACATGAAGTCTTGAAAACTTGTTTCTGAAAGGAGCGCCAGTGGCTGGGGCTGGTGATGGAGTGGAAGAGCAAGAGGCATCCAAGAAAGGCCAAAAGCGCTTTGGTTTGATTTCAGAGAAGATGACATGTTCAGTTCACCCCATTTACCATATGCTTCAACTGTAGTTACCACTGTTTGGGGGGTGCTAGTTGTTGGTGAGAAGTGGAGGAAGCCAAGAACCCTCCCCAGGAAAATGGTTTTCATCACACACACCGACCGCATTTATCTGCAGATCTTCATACTGCCTGTTCCCCTGGTTCAGAATCTCCGTTTTTTTGTTATTGTTGTTTTTGTCCGGGCGCGGTGGCTCACGCCTGTAATCCCAGCACTTTGGGAGGCCGAGGCGGGCGGATCCCCTAAGGTCAGGAGTTTGAGACCAGCCTGGCCCACGTGGTGAAACCTCATCTCTACTAAACACACAAAATTTAGCTGGGCGTGGTGGTGCAGGCCTGTAATCCCAGCTACTAGGGAGGCTGAGGCAGGAGAATTGCTTGAACCCATGAGACAGAGGTTGTGGTGAGCCGAGATTGCACCACTGCACTCTAGCGTGGGCGACAGAGCGAGACTCCATCTCAAAAAGCAAACAAACAACAGAATTCTCTGTTTTAAGGGGAAACAAACAATATCCTTGAAACTTTGGGAGCCTGTTCCTGCCAGTGCAGTAATTGCCTGTTGATGGAGATAGAAAACCACAGTGAAGCTTGAAGAGGAGATCAGCAGATGGTGGAAGGAAATATGCAGGAAATCTTGGGACTTTTCAGAGAAGTGTGATTCAGGAATAAGGCATAAGCCCTCACAAACCTTCCCCAGAGCAAGAGGTGGCACAGGCACAGATTCTGCTACAGAGCAGACCTTTCTGGAGAGGAAAAGGTTGGTTTGGGAATTTTAAGAAGCATTTTTCTTTGCATAATGCAACACCAGTCCTCTGTGTGTCAAAAATGGCTGTGTGAACCATCACATTCAAGAAAAAGACCCAAGTGTCAGGGTTCTAGGCAGCCAAGGGCAGACTAGCCCTTTGCCTGGTATTTGGCTTCGTTTTCTGACACATAAAGATTTGCTCTGCTCCTCTGTGCATGCCAGGACATTAAGATGCAAGAATAAGAACTTACAGCCTGTATATTTGCCATCTAATTAGTGTCTTGGGTCCTAAGTGCTTTGTGCCGAGGTGGTTTTAGTGCACTTGGGCTGGTCCAAGGGCTCTACTCGTGAGCCTCACGAGCACAGGGTCCAGTGGGTGTACAGAGTGCACTAGGAAAAGGGGTACATTGGAGGGAGAACTGAGCTGCTTTGCTTTGGAGGGTTGGGCAGGTACCGCTAAGCGGAGGGGCCCTGGAACTGGCGTCTGAAGAATGGAGAGTAGACAGGTGACCAGGAGGGTGGCACGGACTGCATGGGCAGAGGGTTGCAGACCTGAGAAGGATCCCAGATACTGGGAGATGATAAGTAATTGGATGGAAATAGAACATGATGTGCCTTCGCGGTGGGGGATCTGAAAGACCAGAGCACGAAGCACAGCTTAAGGATTAGATGGATAAATGGAATGTCAGGCAATGAGGCTGATATTGTCAAATAGGATGTCTTCAGTTTCTTTTCTTTCTTTTTTATATATTTTATTTGTTTATTTATTGAGACGGAATCTTGCTCTGTTGCCCAGGCTGGAGTGCAGTGGTACGATCTCGGCTCACTGCAACCTCCACCTCCTGGATTCAAGTGATTCTCCTGCCTCAGCCTCCTGGGTAGCTGGGACTACAGTTACGTGCCACCACGCCCAGCTAATTTTTGTATTTTTAGTAGAGACGGGAGTTTCACCATGTTGGCCAGGCTGGTCTCGAATTCCCGACCTCAGGTGATCCACCTGCCTCAGCCTCCCAAAGTGCTGGGATTACAGGCATGAGCTACCATGCCTGGCCAGTGTCTCCAGTTTCTTTAATTTGCCTGCGGCTTAGCTGGCTCTGGGAGCCCTAGTTTGATAGAGAGAGAGAGAGAGAGAGAGAGAGAGAGTGTGTGTGTGTGTGTGTGTGTGTGTGTGTTGGGAGGTGGCGTGGGCAGATGTGGGGTGGGAAATGAGGAGCAAAGATTTCTAGTCCCCTTCTAGAATAGAAGGGGTCTCTGGCCCTAGCATCTGAGCTGCCCCTCTCTGGGGACAGGGCCGAGTCTGGGTCCCTGCTGATTGCTGAGCAGGCAGTGCAGCTTTGTCATGAGAACACTTTGCTTTCTGCTTAGCTGGCAAGAGCCACCGGCTGGCCTGGTGGCCTCCCCCTCTCTCTACTTCTGCATTTGCACTTGGAAAATGAGGGTAAAGATAGTTCTCCATCTCTTTGGAGACTGTGAAGTTTAATTACTGATTAATAAAGTGTTGGAAGTTCCTTGAGGCCAGAGAGATGAATGGGTTTGTTATCATCACTCCTGAGTCCCAGGAGCGAGTTGGCTAACCCCAGTGCCATCTTGCTGAGTGTCCCGTGTGCAGAGCACAGGGTGGGGGTGTGGAGCTGGCGTTGTGCTTCAGAACCTGGAGCTTGGTGCAGGGCAGAGAGTCCCCTGTGAGAGTGCCAGCGAGGGAATGGAGTGAACAAAGCCACTACAAACTCAGGCACTACAGACTCAGGGGACCATGTGGGTGAGTGATGGGTAGTGGGAACCAGGCTGTGACGATGAATGGCCACTGTTCCCCTGGACCTTGTAATGTGAGTGGGAGAGAGGGGAGCAGAGTCTGCCTTCATCATCAGGACAGGAGTGGGAGGGAGTGGGTACCGTGAAAGGGGTTGGCCCTCGTGGAGTGGGGTGGTGTGAGGTAAGGGAGAACATTCCCAGCAGGTGAACATGGAAAAGGCAGATCAGTTTGCTTGTAAGGATAGGGGGAAGGTCCTGAGATCTGAAAAGGGTAATGGAGAGGAGTCCAGGGAAGAGAGGATTAACAGCCCTGGAGGGTATGGGGCGGGCAGGGAAGGAGGAATGGAGTCTGGCTTGGGAAGACGACGCATGAGCAGGACCCGACTGGAGTAAAGCAAGTGAGGCATTTCCTCAAGCTCACCCCAGAAGGAGGTGCCAGCAACCTCAGTAATCACAACAGATAATTTTTTTTTTTTTTTTTTTTGAGATGGAGTATTATTCCATCGCCCAGACTGGAATGCAGTGTTGCAATCTCAGCTCACTCCAACCTCAACCTCCCGGGTTCAAGCAATTCTCCTGCCTTAGCCTCCAGAGTAGCTGGGATTACAGGCGCCCGCCACCATGCCTGGCTAATTTTTGTATTTTTAGTAGAGACGGGGCTTCACCATGTTTACCAGGCTGGTCTCAACTCCCGACCTCAGGTGATCCACCTGCCTCAGCCTCCCAAAGTGCTGAGATTACAGGCGTGAGCCACTGTACCCGGCCGTGATAGATAATATTTTAATATCATTCCTGACTTTTTCCCTTTTTGCCCCAAGCTCCAACATGGCCCGGCACTGTTACTGAGCCTATTTTCCTTTAAAGAGTTTTTGATATTTTGCTCATCATGGATTTTTTGGTGTTAATTTTTATTTTAAAAAAATATGTTAAAATATTCTGTATCTTGACGACTAAGTTTTTCGATGCTCCCTTCACTTTTACACTCACCACGTGGAGTCCCGGCCCCTTGCGAGAAGGCTGCGTGCTGCCTGGGCTGACTACCGACTTGCTTCTAGCCTACACCCTAACCTAGCAGCTTTGCTCACTAAGGGACTTGACAAGCCCCTATCTCTCTCCCAATCTCATTTTCCTGCTGTGAAATCCTAAGTTGGCTTCCAGAGCTAAGGGTCTGTGTCTGAGGTTCCTTAGTGAAATTTGCAGTTGGTACGGAAATGGTCTGGGGCTGAGACACCTGGCCATGAGGTCAGGGACCTCAGAAGGAGGGGACCCCAAGAAGAAACAGCAGAGCAGTGATGAGGAGAGCAGCCTCCCATGAGGCCTCTCGGGCTTCGGGCTCACCACCCTGTCTGGGAACTCTGCTGGTGGCCAGGCACCCAGCGCCCCACAGCCAGAGGCAAGGGCCGGTTACAATGCTCCCCTCTCCCTGCCCCTCACTCATGCCTCTTAATCCCTTTGGAATCGAATCCCAGGGGAAACAGCCACTTCTCCTCCAACAACTAAAAAAACCCCACCAAGTTCAGATCTGTCAACATATCCTTCTTGAGCGCCTATTGTATACCAGAAACACAATGTCATTCATTCATTTCTTCAGCAAAATTGAGTGCAATGAACAAAACCCCTGCCCCCACAGAGTATGCAGGGCTATTTGAAGGACTTCTACATACATACATCATGTAAGCTTAAAGGGGGTGGGACCATTATGCCCAGTTTTACAGGTGAGGACACTGAGGCACACACAGGTCAAGTCACCTGCCCATGACAACACAGCAAAATGGGGGGCTGGACACTCGGCCTCTCTCTTGACTCTAACCCTGTTGGGAGCGGGGTAATGTGATGGTTGTGTGGGTGGGTTTAGTTGAAGAAGGGTCAGTCCTCCAGGTATAGGGCCTATGCCACTCCCTTCCCAACTGGGCTAAAATTCTGGAATCAGAGTGACACGGAGCCTTCAGGGAGGTTAAAGGGCAAAGGTCTGCCCTAGAATAGGGTGCCCGTCTTTCCAGACACATTTATCCCTTACCTCTCTGTGCCTCAGTTTCCTCATCTGCAAATAGGCACAGCCACACCAGCCCCAGGGAAAACTGTGTGCCACGGCAGATGTACAAGAGCTTGATAAATGGTGAGGCACAATTTGTGATGACGGATAATTAGGCAGGCAGGGATGAGGGCCCGGGAAACAGTTCACAGAACAAGAGGCCAGCTCTGGAGGGAGGGAGGGAAGGGGGTGCACGTATGGGGATCTGTGAAGCCGCGGTGGTCAGCGGGCCGGTGGGAGTGGTGGGTGGGTGTGTGTGTGCACGTGGTGGGACACCGCTGGACCATGCTCAGGATCCCATGGGGATGGAGGTGGCTTCCTCTGGTAGCACCCCAGCCCCTAGGGGTAAAATTCACGTCTTCCCTAGGAGCCTGGGCTCCTGCTCCTGTCAGCCTCCCTGCTAGGCCCCTCCATGAGCAGGGCAACTCCAGGCCCTCCAGGCAGAGAGGACCCAGAGGGAGGAGAAAGGAGACAGGGGGTGGATGTCTGGGAAGCAATTTGATGTGTGACAGGGTGGGAGGGAAAGCAGGCAGGTGCAGTGTAACCCCTGCAGTTTTCCTGGGCACTGGAGCGATAGGCTCATGGCTCATGGCACCTGCCTAATGTGTCCTTCGCCTCCTGTGCCTGCAGGCCCTTCTCCTTCTGGGGCTGAACCCCGTCTCCGCCTCCCTCCAGGACCAGCATTGCGAGAGCCTGTCCCTGGCCAGCAACATCTCAGGTGAGTTCCCTCAACCCCCTCGTGCAAGATTCCTGGTCACCACAATGCCCCCCACCCCAGGTCTGCCAGAGCCTGCACACAGAACCATGCCCTAAGGCAGGATTCGCAGAGTCATTTCCTCTCCAGGGCTGCAAGCAATTCTTCTCGTCTCCACGGAGTGCCGTGTTGAGAAGGATCCTGAAGTTGGGTGTAAGGTTGGTAGGGAAGAGCTGCAGTTGGTTGGTGGCACCTGGAGTTTGCAGCAAGGATTCTGAGTAGTTATCTTCCCTGCTTTAGGGTGGGCACAGGGGAGGTCATCCCAGCCCTTGCTGCTGAGTTGTGACTCGGGGAGGCTTCAAGGGAGGAAGAAAGGCTGCCACAGTCTGCGGCTAAAAATGCCCAGAGTGTAATACTCCATAGTGCTAACACGTGCCAGGCACTGATCGAGGACTGGAGCTGTACTAACCCAATTTGCTCAACGTCCCTCTGAGGTAGGTGCTGTTGTGTCCATTTTACACATAAGAAAACTGAGGTACAGAGAACTAGTGAGCGCCAGAGCCCTGAGTGGAGCACGGGCAGCCCAACTTTTTGTTGTGGTCTCCAGCGCCGTGCTCTGTACCTCTCCAACAGAAAAGACAGCATGGCTGCAAATATTATTAATACCTGCGTCACTTTACCATTTACAGAGTGCTTTTGCATAATCACCTTATTTTATCCTCACAAGAGTTTAAAGCCCAACATTTGTACAGTTGAGGAAACGGAGGCACAGAAGAGTTACATAACCCCCATGGCACAGCGTGGTCAGTACATGGCAGTGACTGGGATCCAAATCTAGGTCTTTGGGCTGTCAAGGGCATGTTTTAAAACTCTGGGTGTGGTCCTGGCCATGGCTGCTGCTGGGGCAAAAATGGAGAGGGTTCCCTGCCCCTGAGTGTCTTTGGGAGGCTTGTGGACCTTCTATTTAAGTCTTCAAGCCTCTCCTTGATTCACACCAACTCTTTCATGAAGCACCTACTACACAGCAGGCCCCACGCAGGGCACTGGGGAAACAAGAGGGGCTCACAGTCTAGTCTGGGAGTCGAATCCACAAATGCATGTGCAATGAGGCAGAGTGCAAGACGCATGCTAGTGAAAGTCGAATCCACAAATGCATGTGCAAGGAGGCAGAGTGCAAGACGCATGCTAGTGAAGAAACAGACGCAAGTGTCTGCAGGCAGGCAGGAGGCCTTCATTTCTGAAGCTGGCTCTGTGGGGACAGGAGGCCTCCATAACTCAGGGCATCTGCTTCCTGGCTAGCTGTTCCTTCACTAGGGAGAGCCTGGGGACAGAGGAACAAGACTTGGACTTGGAGAAGGCACACTGGGTTCCTGTGCTGGCTCCCAGAAGGTGCCAGGTCATGTCCTGGCTAGGGGCGGGTACTGGTAGCCACAGGGATGACCTTACCCTCAGCCCCCTTGAACCTCACCTTGTCTAAGTGTAGAGGGATAGGGGGCTGTTACCTGCCCCAAGGATCTCTTATGAGATTCAATGTGCTAAGTTTTATGGCAATATTTCACAAACTGTAAACTATAGAGTGTCATGCCAGTACTAGGTTTGGTTTGGTTTGGTTTTAGAGATGGGGTCTCACTCTATCACCTAGGCTGAAGTGCAATGTCACAATCATAGCTTAGTGCAACCTCGATCTTCTGGGCTCAAGGAATCCTCCTATCTCAGCCTCCTAAGAAGCTAGGACTATGTGCACACCACCACACCTGGCCTAATTTTTTTAAAATTGTTTTGTAGAGATTGCCCAGGCTGGAGTGCAGTGGCACAATCATAGCTCACTGCAGGCCAGATCTGGGCTCAGGTGATCCTCCTGTCTCAGCCTCAGTAGGCTTTTAAAGGGCTTACTGTATAGCTGGAATGAAGGGAAGGTACTTGCCAGTAATTGCTCATAATAAGGGAGGGAGCAGGGAGGCTAGGCAGGGGTGGTGCAAATCCAGGGAGGCTTCCTGAAGGAGGAAGTTTCAAGGTGAATATTAAGAGACACTGTCAGTGTGAACTGGCAGAAAAGAGCCAGTGCTGTGAGCTACAGCAGGAGGTGAGCAAGGACCAGTAGGTGAGTTTGGCGGAAGGACCGGGGAGAAGTGAGGAGAGAGGAGTGGGAAACGGGGAAGGTATTGGGAGCCCAGAGCATCTGGCTGCAAAGTTGGTTAAGCTGTGCTTGGGGAATGGGGAAGTAAGTTCTTGAGCGTGAGTCTGGAGTTCTAGGAGAGAGAGATGGGGAGGGAGGAGAGCTGCTCAGAGGCTAGGCCTGAGAGGAAAGGCCCTATCCCCAGCCCCCCATGCTCTGGGGCCAGGTCAGGCTCTATCAACTTGTTCGTTATGCTCAGGAGGAGAGACATCCCTGAGCCCACGAAGGTGTCACCTGTCCTTGGAACCAGCAGGCCACGATGAATAGCGTTCATTCCCTGGCGATTTGTACTCCGTGCCGGTGCCCCCAGCCCAGCCCAGCCTGCCTGTCTGCATGGCACGCGATCCATCACCCTCCACAATGGCCTCTGATAATGGGCCATTTGTCTTCTGACTCGGAGACCTACCCAGACTGATGGGCACTGGTAGAGACAGATGGTGAGGGTGGGGCAGAGGGGCCGAGACAGATGGATGGGTGTCTGGCTGGGGCAGCTGGCACTGAGCCAGGGCCTTTGGGGGGGCCTTTCACATGCCTCATGCCAGGAACCGGGAGAGAGTGGGTCCCCAGGGCTGAGGCCTATCATGTGGCAGACCACAGACTTGGCGACTCATAAAATCATGGCATGAGTATGACAATGCCAGGAAGTAATAGAATTATTTACTAATGACATCACAGACAAATAGAATCTGGGTTGACAATTACCTGGGGTCATCAGTTATCATCTCTGGTCTTAAGGTAGTGAATGATAATTAATAATAGCTAGGCCAGGCGTGGTGGCTCACGCCTGTAATCCCAGCACTTTGGGAGGCCGAGGCCGGAGTATCACTTGAGGTCAGGTGTTCGAGACCAGCCTGGCCAACATGGTGAAACCCCGTCTCTACTAAAAATAGAAATAAAAAATTAGCCAGGCGTGGTGGTGGGCGCCTATAATCCCAGCTACTCAGGAGGCTGAGGCATGAGAATCGCTTGAGCCTGAGAGGCCAGGGTTGCAGTGAGCCGAGATCACGCCACTGCACTCCAATCTGGGCAACAGAGCGAGACTCTGTCTCAAATAAGAATAACAATAATAATAGCTAATATTTATTTAGTGGCCACTATGTGTTGGAAACCATTCCAAGTGCTTTAATCTCGTTCAATCATTATAATACTGTAGTCAGGAAATATTTTTATCCACATTTTACAGTAGAGGAACCTAAGGCTCAGGTAAGTTAAACAAGTTGCCCAAACACACTAAGCTTCTACTAAGCAGTGGCTGCAGGATATAAACCATGTGGGTCTGATTTCAGATTTTGCCACCAGCACCGCGTTATGTGGCCCCTCAGAGCCAGAGTGTCCAGGGCCCGGTGTAGTCAGCCATCTAGGGGTGCAGTGCCACCCCTGCAGTGCCACCCACAGCCACACTAGGTGTGCACATGGCCCCATATTCTCCTCCATGCCTCCTGTATGCCTGGCATTGTACTAGCTGCTGGGAAGGCAAAAGTGAAGAGCCCACAAAGCCGCAGGACAGGAGGGCCATCCTCTTGTCCCGATGGATCACACACCCTACACAGGCGTCTCTCTTCTCTGCCCAGCCAAAGAGAAGGCAGCTCAGCCATGAGATGGCTGAGCAAAGACAAGGTTTCTGCCACCCTCTCCATGCCAGGAGACCCAGGCAGAGGCCCTGCCCATTCATCCCATAGCACATTCCTCTGACTGGGCAAGAATGTGTGTTTCACAGGCTGCCCTTGGGCCACCTGGCTGCTCCCCCTCTGGACAGCCTGGGCTGAGTCCCCCTCCTGATTTTAAGCCAAATAGGGGAAAGGGCTTCCCAGCCACAGGGCTGCTGCCAAGTGCCCACATCCAGAAGCCGCTGATGGGAGACCCAACATAACTGAGACAGAGCCAGGTTCCAGCTTCCTCTGAAGTTATCCACCATGGGCGGATCTGCCAAGCACATGTGGACCCTGAGCCTGATGGGAGGCAAACTGTGTAACCTACTTGGGGGAAGAAGCCAGTGCCCGATTGTGCACAGCATTAAATAGGCCACCTTCAAAGGATTCTTACCTGTTCATTAAAGCAGCCCTCCCAGGACCCTGACCCGGCAGGGTTTCTTCCCTGGCAGGTGGAGCCCTCCACACTGCCCCCTCTCCTCTGCTCTCGCTTTGCAGGGATTTGAGGCAGTCTGAGCAGAATGCGGTTCCCATGCATTTGTTCTGTGCATGTGTGGGGAAGGAGAAAGATATAGAACTGGTTTTTGCATTACTTTAGCCCACTTGACTCCCTCCAGCTCACCCCCAACCTGAAGGCCTGTGGTGACCAGGGCTGGTGAGTGGGTTGGTTCTACTCCCACATCCCCAGCCAGGAAAGACCCTGAATGCATCTACCTGTCCTGTAAATGAGGGAGTGAGCCACAGAGCAAGAGGGACATTGACACCTCAGACACACCAAGCTCACACCTCTTCCAGGGCCCTCCTACTCGCAGTTGCCTCTGCCGAGAACACTTTCCCCTCAGGTTTTCTCCCTCACTTCCTTTAGTTATCTGCTTAATTGGTAGTAATTTAGAAGACACCACACTAAAAGAGCACCTTTGTCAGCCTTTATCTCTTTGCACTGCTTAGTTTTTCTCCATAGTATTTCTCATTGGTTAACAGAAATGTGTGAGTGACTGTGCGTGTGTGTGTGTGTGTGTGTGTGTGTTTGCTGCCTCCCCACTAGAATGTAAGCACCATGAGGACAGGGCATTTATTTTATTCATTATTATATCCCAAGCCCCTTGAACATTTCTTAGGTAGTCAGTAAATAACAGCTGTCTCTTGGTATCCATGGGAGACTGGTTCCAGAACTCCCCATGGATATCAAAATGCAGGGATGTCCAAGTCACTGATATAAAATGGAGTAGTATTTGCATGTAACCTATGCGCATCCTCCTGTATACTTCAGATCATCTCTAGATTATTTCTAATACCTAATACAATATAAACGTTATATAAATATAAACAGTTATTATACTGTACTGTTTAGGGAATAATGACAAGAAAAAATGTCTGTACATGTTCAGTACTTTTCCCCAAAACCTATGGATATGGAGAAACAACTGTACTTGTTAAATAAAGAGCAAAGCCACTATTCCTTAATTGACCAGGAGAGGCACTGCAGGACAGGGAGCTGTCAGGGGGCATTGGCATCTAACAGCACCTCTGCCTTTGTGCAGCTGGCTGGTAAACTGGCTTGGCTATTTGCAGGGTTGGATTACTGTGGTCCAAATTCCTCCTCATCCCAGGACTATGACAGCTGAGTGGGAAAATACCTCCACCCGCCAGGAGAGCAGAAGAGGTCAGGCTTTTGTGGCACTGGGACTGGAGGGAGGGGACATTGGCCCAAGAATCAGAAGGTCCTTGAGGTCCTTATAGCCATCAAGCTGAGTGACCCAGAAACTGACTTCCTGCCTTCTCCCCTTCCCAACTAGGGGATGGACACCCTCTCTGTCCCCAGCACCTGTGAAATGATCTTTCTCTGTGCCTCCTTCTCCTGACTTTCCGCCTGCCTCTCCCTATTTCTTCCTTAGTGTCTTCTCCCGCGTCTTTCCTCTCTCTCTCCACCTCTCTCCTGGCCCACTTGGCCTCCTACCTCCCTCCCTCTCTGTCTGTTTTCTCCTCCTCGGTGTAGTCAGGTGGCTTAAATGAGTGACATGAATTGCGTCATGCAAAGCACCCTTCACAGTGCCTGGTATATATTATAGCAGTGTCCAACTAATGTTCTCCCTCAAGTCCTATACACCATTTCCCTTCTGAGGCCTTGTCCCTACCGGATCCCAGGGACCCCCCACCCCCAACCACTCTCCTCCCCGGACCCAGTGTCGGCGATCTGAAATCCCTTGTGGGGATTTCAGACACAGAGACACTAAGGCCCAGAGAGGGCAGGACCCCGAGGCATTGTGGGAAGGCACCGAGCCCACAAGGCCGTCCCAGGCCGGGAAGTCCAGTGGACAATGCCAACTGGCCAGGAGCGTGGCGCCTGAAGCCCTGTCCTGCTGCCTGCTCCCTGCCCTTGGTGTCTAGGTCCCCTCCCCTCGAACTCCACTCTGCGGCTGAGGCCCCACTCTGCGGCTGAGGCCCTTTCCTGCTGCCTGCTCCCTGCCCTTGACCTCTAGGTCCCCTCCCCTCTAACTCCACTCGCGGCTGAGGCCCTCGCGCCTCTGGCCACGCCCCCTCCCCGACCCCGCCCCCCAGCACCTGACCCCCGTGGGAGCGCTGACCTTTCACTGGGGAAGGCGGAACTTTGTCTCCTCGTCCCTTTTCATTTGACTTCTCCTCCCCGTTCTTGCAGCCTCTCTCTCCCTTTCTTGCCGTCTCACACAGACTTTCAATTCCTTCCAGGATTTTTTGGGCTCTTAATGTAAAGATCGCGACCGATGCTGTGTCCCGGGCGCCCTCTCTACGCATCCTTCTGAGCTGCGGGGGTCAGGAGGGAGGGGGAGGCGCGGCGCTGCTGGGGAACTGGAGTGGCCGAGACCGGGGTGCAGCTCTACACTCGATGGGCAGCTGCCCAGATCAGGGCCAGCTGTGCAGCTGTGGGCAGCACCCTGAGCTGGCATCAAAAGATGAGCATTGAAAATCCACTCCTGTCTCAGTTTCTTTGCTTACTGATTGTCCTGGAATAAGCCATTTGACCACCTTGGCCTCAGTTTTCTTATCTGTAAAACAAGAGAGAATTAGCACCCACGGTGGCATACTAGGTGGCTGGGAACCGTACTACAGAGGAGGGGCAAATGGCTTCTGACCTGCCTGCCCCTTGAAGGTCTGCACGTCCCTGGCCAGCTGTGGACGGGGTCAGGCCTTTGGTTAGAGCCCTTAGAGCTCCCAGCAGTGGCCGGTGCAGGTTCTCTAGGCCAGAAGGCCCATCCTGAGTGGCTGGCTTCTGCCTCGGCTCTGGCCTGGTCCTGGTTGTGGCGGGTGCCCAGTCCTTTCCTGCCCTTCGTGCCTTGCGAAAGCAAGTCGCGAGAAGACTGGCCGTGGAAGGGAAGAAGGGAGGGCAGGTGCCACACTGACAGAGAGGGTGTATTCCGTGTGTTCATTCCAGACGCTGCCACATGGAACATTACATTTAAGCCTAGCTCACCAGATAGTGTGTATGAATGAGTGAGGAGTGAATGAGCAAGCTACTGAGGAAGGTACAATGGTGCCATTAAATGAGATGGCATATGTCATGCAGCTGACATGTGCCTGGCACACAGTCAGCCCTCGACAAACGCTGCTGCCTTCCTGCTGCCCCCTTAACTGTCCATCACCTCCATGACTGACTCACAATGTGGCATAAGGGAAAGAGCACTAGATTTAGAGTCCAAAATACCTGCCTATGAGACTTGGTTCTTTCACCCATTGACCCATGACCTTGGAAAAGTCACCTAACTTCCCTGGGCCTCAATTTCTTCCTCTGTGAAAAGGAAATAATGACATTGCTGGATGTATGAAGATCAAACGAAATAGATGAAGAAGAGCTTGGAAACAGCAGGGCGTGGCCCCTATACAATCCTCCCCTCCCCGCGACCACATGCTCCCAGCTCTCTACCCAAGTCCCTGTCCCCGGGGCTCAACACTGTCAGCAGGATCTAGGACAGGTTAAAATCCCAGCCTGGCACGCCCTTGCCTCGGATGGCCCTGCTTCATCACTCCCCTGTTTCCACTGCCATTCCGTGATGACATTCACAGAGACTCCGCTGTGGCACAGCACCTGGGCTTGGCCCACTCCAGCCGCCTGGCCCGCAGTCACCTCGTGTCCATTAAGCCCCAATCCAGATTTCTTTCTCTTTCAATTAAGCCACTTGGCCTGAAGACCTCTGCCCCTTGAGTCCTGATTTGCACAAATGCCCTATGAATAGCTTTGATTAGAAAGAAAAACCAGCATTTGGTACAAGTGCTGCTCGGCACTGCCCTGAGTCCAACAGGGAAAGGAAGCCAATTTAACCCAGCGCTGTTTCCTGAGAGATTGGGGACAAGCTAATTTGGGGAGGAGATGGCAGGCGGGCCCCAGCCAGGGCTTGGCAGCTGCTAGGGCCTCGGCCCAAGCCCGAAGAGGCTGCCCCCACCCGCACTGGTTCATGGTTCCTGGCCCTCCCTCGCTTGTCCGTCCACGCTTGTGCCAATTCTAGGTTATTAACCTGGAGACACTAGGGCTGAAGAGGACTGCTGTGCCAGCCTCACTCAGAAGGAGGCACTAAAAGGCAGAGAAAGAAGGGGCAGCCTCAAGGGGGTGCCAGGACTGTGCCAGCCCCCACCCTTTGGAGGCCATACCCGCCCTCCCCTCCTGAAGTGTCACTGGGGCCTCAACTCTGCCCCAACATCCTCTCTCTCTCTCTCTCTCTGTCTCTCCCCTCCAAAAAGCAAATATTTGGAAGGGGCCTTTGACATCCTCTTTCTAGTTCGGATGTTTATCTCTCTTTGAGTCACAGACCCCTTTGAGAATCTAATGAAAGCCATGGGCTGCTTTCCCCATTAAAATGCATGTATACACCAATATTTTCATTACATTCAGGGTCTCTGCGAACTGTTGAAGTTTCCAGTGGGCTGAGATTAAGAATTTCTGATCTGGTTCAACCACTTTATTTTATTATAGATGAAGACAAGACACTAGGACCCAGAGAGGGCAAGTGACTTGCCTATGGTCACACAGCAAATTAGTGGCACAGCCCATTCTGAAGCCGTGGGCCCAGACTCCCAGTTCAGTGCCCTTTCCACTCCCCCAGATGGTGTCTCCCTCCCTTTCCTCTCCATAGCTCACTTCTCCGTCAGTCCTGTCCTAGGGCTCTGCACAGAACAAAGTACACACAATGTATGGTCAGTAAGTGTGGTGAACAGGCCAGCCGGAAGAAGGAACAGGCCAGCTGGAAGGAGAAACAGGCCAGCCGGAAGAAGGGCCAACTTTATTCAGCTGGTTCTTCCCTGCAGGGTCAGGGTAGATGTGGTTTGATTGCAGAGACACGTGAGGGGCTGGATCAGTGGTTGGATGGGTCTGTTCCAGGGTGTTCCTATGATATCTCAGAGCTCCAGGCTATCACCATGTGAGGGGCCAAGGAAGTGTCCTCAGGCTACAGAGCAGGGGACCAGAAGCATGCCCAAGCTTCTTCTAAATGCCAGGACCTTAGCTTTTAACACCACCTCCAGCCATTTCTGTTCCTCCTCTGCTCTGGAACCCATGCTGGCTCCCTAGTACCATAGCATCAGATTCAGATTTCTTCCCCTTGTGTCTTCTTTGCATAGGATGAGCTCATTTCTGCACTGGTCATTATTGTCATCCTGTCCCTAGTTGGTGTGAGTGGGAACCAGTGGGGAGGTGGGCAGAACTCTGGAATGTCCTCTGCCTGCTTGGGGCCTTGGCCGGATATCTTGCTGTGCCTTACCAGTCATCTCTGCCCCCAGGACTGCAGTGCAACGCATCCGTGGACCTCATTGGCACCTGCTGGCCCCGCAGCCCTGCAGGGCAGCTAGTTGTTCGGCCCTGCCCTGCCTTTTTCTATGGTGTCCGCTACAACACCACAAGTAAGGAAGAAGTGGAGGGTGGACCATCTGCTGGGAGGTGGGACAGGATGGGGAGAGCTTGGAGGTGGGGGAAGTAAGAATGGTGATGCCAATAACAGTAATACCTCTTGTGGGGATCGCCCCTGTTTTCCAAAGGTCAGCGCTGTATTCTCCCAAGTGTCCTGTGCTCATTACTGGTGATTCTCACAATACCCTTGCAAGACACTATCACGCCTCCTATAACTAAGGCCCCTGAGGCTCAGGGAGGTTAGCGAACTTGCCCCATTGGCAGCTGGTAAGGGGTGAAGCTGGAATTTGCATCCACGTCTGCCTAGCACTTCCTTCTGCCATTAAACTTCAGGTTAGTCTGTTTGAGCCTGCTGTAATACCGTGAAGCAGGGCAGGAATCGTCCGAGCCCCAGCTGTGTGGATAAGAACCCTGAGTCGAGAGGTTCTGAGGCCTACCCCGGCCCTCCAGCCAGGAGGTGGGGGACCCAGAGTTTTAGATGCACAGGCAGGGGCTCAACTTGCATCCTGGATTCATAGGTAGAGTGGGGACAGGACGGGATTGACCCAGGCTCCATCGGATACTTGATCCTCATGTAAACACCTGGCTCCCCGGAGGCCCAGCACCCCCATGGCTGGGCTTTGCAGCTCCCTGCTATTCCGCCTGCCACTCTCAGAATTAATTTGCTCTCTCCTGTCAATGACCCAGGTCCCTGCTTATCAAGAGAGCAACAGCTGTGGGCCAGGGGCCCTAACCTACCTGAGGGGAGGCTGGGGGCCTGATCCCTGCAACTGGGGCCTCCTGTGTGTACCCTTGGGTCCTGGTGGTCTTGAACTCAGAGCCCCAAGAGGGCACAGGGGTGAGCCCAGACACCATGTAGTTTACTCCAAGACTCACTGTGTGACCTCGCAGCACATTGTCTGGCCCTCGGCCCCTCACCTGAGGATGGAGAGGGCCAGATGGCTTGGTTTCTAAGATGTCTCCCAGCTCAAAAACTCCAGAATTCCTTCTTCTGCCCCTCTTTCCTCGACCAGATGGATTTGGGGGTTTATAGTTAGGGGCTACAGGAGAGGAGTGGGAAGACCCAGCCAGAGAGTGGCTCCCCAGGGAATGACCTGGGAGGCCAGGGCCGGGCAGGAGGCTGGGGCAGCCAGATCCAGCAGCCTCGTGTGTCTGTACCATGTCCTGGCCGTGGGAGGGACCTGGGAGAGGGAGAAGACACACTGGGAGGGGCTTGGGGACCAAGGGGAGGAAGTGCAGAAAGGAAGAAGGGCCTCTTGGCCAGGTCAGTCCAAGGGGTGCACAGTTGGCCAGCCCCCAATATAGTCAGGCCCATCTTATAATAAGGAAATTGAGGCACAGAGAGGCTAATAATCTATCAGAGGTCTCAGAGCCTGGAGGCAGGGTCACAGCCCAGGGATGAGAACTCTTACGATGCTGGGGGCTGAGTCCTTCTGGAGCCCCTAGGAAGGAGGCAGCATCTGCACATCAGAGGGGCTTCCGGGAGGAGGCACCAGATCCTGTCATGTCCACTTCCAGAGTGATTCTCGTGTCTGGCCCTACCTGCCCCCACTCCCCAGCGCCACTGCCCAGCCTCAGGTTTCAGATCTGCGTCGGTCACTCCTTCACTTGGAATCCACTCTTCTGTGGCCTCCGCGGTCAGGCCTGTGCTCCTGGGTGGGACCTGCCCGGCTTTCTGTAGTCATGGCCCTGTCGCCTTTTGCAGCCAGCCCTGACCACCCGCCATGAGTTCCCTCTACTCCCGTTGCAAAGGGTTACTTGACATGCTCCAAATAAACATTTCCAGCCCTCAGTGCCTGGGCACACGCTTCACTTGCTGGCCCTGCCTGAAGTGGCAGCCAGGAGTCCTAGGTTCTCATTCCAGCTGCATGTGAAGCTGGTTAAGGAGCCCTTGGCACAGACCTTCTCTGGGCCTCAGTTTCTCCACCTGCAGGAGGATTGGGTGTGGTGCTCTCTAGGCTCCCGTGCGCTTCCCTCTGTGATCCCAGGAAAGGAGCTGGGGTGATGGCCCCTCGACATGGGGTCAATCTGTCAGGACAGGGCTGGAAGACCCCTTTCCAGGTGCCTCCAGCGCCAGATGAGGTGGAGCACGCCCATGCAATCAGTCGCAAGTGGGTACCCAGAGCTGCACCTCATCATTAAGCACTAATTAATCCATTTACTGATGAGTTGCTGCCAGGACGTCTAGGCCTTCTCCCTAATGCCCTCCCTCCTGCTGCATCCGATCTTCAAAGGGATGGGAAGCATTTCCAAAAATATCCATTTTCCCGTGATTCTTTGGGAGGACTGCTCAGCTCAGCAATTAAAGACAAGGAGGTCGCATCCTCCCTGGCAGCGGCTCCCTGCTTGTTGGGCCTGCTTTCTTTCGGATCACCTCCTTTCTCCCATCAAAGCCTGCTTTCTCTGGGTGACGCAGCCTCTGGCGGGACTCCTGGCTCTCCCTCACATGCCGAGGGGGGCAAGGGTGTTGAGCAAAGGGGGTTTCTCCCACAATATCCACCAGTACCCTTTGATGGGGACAAGTGACACGCTCTGAGTCTCGTGTAAGGTTATATAAATATAGCTCCAAGACAATAAAAATAAAAATAACAGCCAACATCACATGCCAGGTACAGTTCCAAGCACCTTGTGCATGTTAACTAAAAATACTCAATTCTTGAAGTAGGAGCCGCTGTTCAGAGGCTCTAACTTACAGAGGAGGAAACTGACAAGTTGCGGGATTTGCCCAAGGTCACACAGCTAGTGGAAGGTAGTGCCAGGATTTGACCCTAGACTGTCTGGGTCCAGGGGCCACACTCTTAGCACTACTCCATGCTGCCTCTTAACTCAAGAACCACCCCACCCTATCCCACCACCCCCGGGCCCCTGCCAACCAGATCTCTGTCCCCAAGCCCCTTTCCTTGGAGGTATTTCAGAGCGGTCTGTGGTCCCGGGACTTCCCAGCCATGGCAGAGACACTGGGTTGCCGTGGTTCCTCGCCTCCCCCTCCCCTCAGACCTCCCTGAAAACCTGCTGGGTGAGCCTCAGCCCTCCGGTAACTCATCCCTCATTTAGCAATTAGGAGAGAATCAGCAGCCTCTTCACCAACTCTGCCCAAGGGCCTGAGGCTCCCCGAGACTGCAGTCCACTGACATGGAAGAGCCTTAAAAATCCATTTAGCCAGATCTCCCACTGGCCAGCTGTAGCTGAGCAGCTCCTCAGCAGAGGGACCTAGGAGGGGAATGGACGGGAGGAGAGCGAGAGAGAAGAGGCCACGGCTACCTTTCAGCCCTGGAGGCCAGGACAGGCTCCCTATCATCACCCTTTTGTCCTGATGCTGCCAGCAGAGGCAGCTCCCAGGCTGGATGGTCCCTTGGGGATCAGCTGGTCCAGCCCCTCCTTTTATAAATGAGAAGGGGTCCCCAGAGGTCACTCACGCAGCACAGCAGCAGCTGGGCTGGCCCCAGGGCCCCAGCCTCCAGACCCTCACAGGGTTCTACCCCATGGGGCTCCAGACTCAAGGACTGGGACTCCAGCAGCTTTCCCAGCCCTCTTCCAGCCCCAAGGGCCAGTGGGAGCCACAGGAAGGCCTACAGTGAGGGAGACTCCAGGGGAGATGCTCAGGGCTTCATTTCTCTGCCAGGCAGTTCTGCCTGGAGTCAGAGCCAGAATTAACTCAAGGAAGCATGTTTAGAGCTACTGAGGCCAGAGCCGGGTACGGGGTGGGGTGGGGCGACCTCTGCCAGCAGAGAAGATGAGATGGAATTTAGAACTCGTGCTGTCCCTTCCCAGCTGGGTTTCAGGACTCTGGAGCTCGAGCCTGGTAGGCAGGAAGGAGGGCGAGGGGAACACGTTGGGCAGCTCTGCCCATCCCAGGGCCCTAAAGTCAGACATCAATTCGACTCACAGGGCCCCTCCCCATCTCCTTAGAAGGTGACAGGTTCTGGGCCACAATCCAGGCCGGTGACTGCATGAACCTCCATATGTCCCTGGACCACTCTGCTGCCTTCTTCCTTGAGTGACATGGGCCAGTCTAGGAGCAGCTGTGGCAGACCTGAGTGATGACATCTCTCCACACATGCCTGTCACCTGTCATTTTCTGTCCAAGAGACCTCCATCATGGATATTCCCCCCACCCACCCACCACAACCTTCCAACATAGGACTGCTATGGAGAAGTGCCCCCCTGGGGACCTTCCCCAAGATCTGCCCCGTGAACTCTGAGCCCCCATGTGCAGCACGGCCAGGGAGGACCTCCCACGGCAGCCTCTGTGAGATGGCTCTACCACAAGAAGCCCTGTCATGCCACCTGCCACGTGAGCTGTCACCGCATACCCTTCCACCGTGTCATGCCCAGCCTCGTGAAAATTGACTCATGAGGTCTCACCATTTTTTGCTGTCTTACAAGACCCCTGAACAGGAGATTTCTCAGAAGAGCACCTTCCTGTCATCTGCCACCACATAAGGACTTGAAAGGAAACAGCCCAGGGAGCTGGCCAAGCCTGTCCACGGGCCAGTCCTGTGGGCATGATTGTGCCAGCTTGAGTGGGCAGAGCCAGGTCCACAGGTGGGCATCGGGAGAGCCACCAACCCCTGCTGGAGGCCAGTGGGCAGAAAGAGGCAGGAAGATAGGGGTGGTAAGGAAGCCCTTCTCCCCAGCTTCACTCCACAGCCCCCAGCCAGCAGGTGCCTGTGCTGGCCATCTACAGATCCATCGATGCATCCATCTGGGCCAGGATGGCCAGAGAGGGGCCCGGGCTGCCCTGCCATCACTGCCTCTCTCTTCCTTTTCCAGACAATGGCTACCGGGAGTGCCTGGCCAATGGCAGCTGGGCCGCCCGCGTGAATTACTCCGAGTGCCAGGAGATCCTCAATGAGGAGGTGAGGCTGAGCCGAATGAGGCTGCCCATGTGAAGGGGGGTCCAGGGTCCCCAGCAGAGTTTTGTGCCTGCTTCTTGGAGTCAGGGAGCCAGAGGCTAATGTCAAGGCCCTGTCCTAGCGAAGCTGACTGGGGAGCTGGAGCTGTTGACTTGGAAATGGCCCATGAGCAGGCACCCTCAAGGGCAGGCTGGACCAACGGGGCACTGGGCAAGCTCTGATGGTGATGAGATGGGTCCTTGTTCCTTCCTTCCTTCCCCCTGTGCTCATCAGGCAGCCGCTTGCACTGGGCATGGGACTGTCCTGGAGGTGCAAAGGGAGACCAGACTCGGTCACAGGAGTCCCACCCTTTTCCACCACACACGCCTGACAGATACATCCAGTTCCAGCCATGGGGCTGTATGGGAACCAGGGATGGGGTGGAGGTAGCAGTGCAGTTTGAAAAAGCCCTTGGAAAGCCTTTTAAAATGTTAAATGTTTCTGAGCAGATGTTGCTTACACAGAACTCAGAAGGTACAAATGGGAATACAATGTCCCCTCCCACCCCATCCCTGGCCACTGGATTCCCTCCCAGAGGCAACCATTTTGCCAATTTCACAAGTGTCCTTCCAGAGACATTCTCTGCATACATGAGTAATTATATATACGTATTCTTTTTTGTTTTTACCTGAATGTTGCATATTACGCACACTGTCTACACCTTGCTTTTTTCATATAATCATCTATCTTAGAGATGGTTCCATATCAGTACATAAAGAGCATCTTCATTCTCTTTGCATTTGCATAATATCACAAAATGAACCATAATTTATTTAAACCAGTCTTTATTCTCAGTCCTCAGTTATTACAAATGGTGCTGCAATGAATAATCTTTGAAGGGTGATTTTTGGCAGAGGCACAAATATATCTATCCTGGAACTACTGTTGCCCTCGATCTCCTTTGCCACCGACGCTGTCTCCCTCAGTGCTGAGGAGGGCGGGGGTCAAAAAGCAGAAGGGGGGACACTCCAGGCTGTCTGAGAGCCAGGGCTTCTGATTGTGGAAGAGAGGGACTGACCTAGGCAGTCCCAAGAATCCCATCGCCTAAAGATCAGAGCTGGAAGAGACCTTGGAGACTCTCCCTCCCATCTTGAGGTTCCCAGACCCGCCTGGTTATAAGAATCGTCCAGAGGCAGATCACCTGGGGTCAGGAGTTTGAGACCAGCCTGTCCAACATAGTGAAACCCCATCTCTACTAAAAATACAAAATTAGCCGGGTGTGGTGGTGCACACCCTGAATCCCAGGTACTAAGGGGGGCTGAGGCAGGAGATTGCTTGAACCCAGGAGCAGAGGGTGCAGTGAGCCGAGGATCAGCCATTGCACTCCAGCCTGGGCAAAAAGGAGGGAACTCCAATTAAAAAACAAAACAAAACAAAAACCATGGCAGCTGCGGTGGCTCATGCCTGTAATCCCAGCCCTCTGGGGGCCAAGGCAGGCAGATCACAAGTCAGGAGATCGAGACCATCCTGGCCACATGATGAAACCTCATCTCTGCTAATAAAATACAAAAATTAGCTGAGCATGGTGGGCGCATCCCTGTAATCGCAGCACTTAGGAGGCTGAGGCAGAAGAATCACTTGAACCAGGGAGGCGGAGGTTACAGTGAGCTGAGATGTGTACCACAGCACTCCAGCCTGGCGACAGAGCAAGACTCGTGTCTCAAAAAAAAAAAAAAAAAAAAGTATATGGAATCGCCCAGAGCACCTGTCCAAATACAGGTCCCAGGGCCACACCCAACACCTAAGAAATCACACCGTCCAAGGAGGACCTGGGAATCTGTCTTTCATGAGTGCCCCAGGGGAGCCTTCTGATGGGGCAAAAGTGAGAAACTCTAATCTAGTGCAACCCGTTCACATTACAGATGGGCACACTGGGACCCAGAATTGGGGACTGAGTCACACAAGATCACATGGCCAGAGTAAGTCAGAGCCTGGAACCCAGGGCTTCGGAGCTCAGGCTCTGCTTTGCCCACTGCCAGGTATCTGCGTGAAACAAAGTTAAGGATAAAGAATCACTTTCCTTCACCCCCAGCTTACTAAGCCCCCACACGGAGAGCCCACCTGGGAAGTCCTGGGATGGGGAGGAGGGCTCTTCCTGGACTGAGGGAAGGAGGTGGGGTTCCAGGTTAGGAGACTTAGTTGGGCCAGAGGAGATGGCCTTGGCTGGGGGAGTGGCAGCGGGCAAGACCATTCAGGGATGTGGGGAATCCGTAGCCTGGCACACAGTAGAGGAGGTGGGAGGAAAGGAAACGGGGCTGGTGCTCAAAAGAGCGGGTCAGTGCTGTCGGCGACTCAGGACCACACGCCATGCCAGAGAGGGATGGTGTTGAGGAGGTACAGCTAAGCCACGAGGTCAGGCTGCAGGCCGCACTGTCTGTCCCAGCCTCACGCCCTGCACTCAACCCTCCTGAGGGTCAGGGCGGGGTCTTCACCTGTCTCTCCTGCTCTAATGTAAGCCCCTTCCTTTCAGTTGGCTGATGGGGACACTCGGCAGCCCCCGTTTTCCCCAGCACCCTTCGAAGGCTCAAGGGCAGTAGGTTACCCACCCTCGGCCCACCCTGCAACGCCCACCCCTGCCAGGACAGGGGTCTCTCCCTCTCTCCACCAGCAGGGTTAGGACAAGGAAGAGGATCAGGAGCCCGGTCTCATCAGCCCGCTCTTTGCATTGCAATGGGAATAGCACAGACCTTAGGGTTTGAGTTTCAACGGGAACCTGCTGCATGACCTAGAGGAGGCAACTTAACCCCACCGAGTTCCCGAAACTGGTGGCCAGGAATTCAGATCTCTGCCTTCAGGGGATGGAAGGGTGGTGTTGGCCTGTCTTGGCCTATGGGAGATGTTCCATTCACCTGCCGCCCCCTGTCTCTCATGTCCCCTGTGAGGTCAGGGGAGGTTGTAATGTACACCTGGGGGAGTGACCTGTCCCACCCCCCAGCCCATCCATGCCTGGCTCTGCCGCCTCTTTCCTCTGCAGCCCCTGCTGGCCTGGTGCCTAGCACTCTGGGTAATCGATTAATTTAATTAGTGAAAATGCCATTCCCTTCTGCCAGCCCCCAGCCTCGCCAGACCCCTCCCAGAACTGCAGAGGAAAGTATCCAATTAATTGAGTGGTAGGTTTCTCAGCTCTGGGCCTGGGCTAAGCCCTAATTAAGCCGCAGCGCCCTGGGGTATTGCAGATAATGGATTCGCAGAAGTCCGCCTGTGAAATGGGACTTGCGAGGGCACCCCAAGGCCAGGCACCCCAGGAGATCTGCCCGCAGCCAGCACCACCAGGGAACAGGCCCGCAACTGGGGAGCCTGTTGCATGCATGGCTGGCCCGGGGATGGCACTGAGCCCCCATTACAACCCCTACACCTGCTCCCCATATCAGCACCCTCTCCTCCCCCCACCACCTCCCTCCACTACTGTTCACTCCCTTCCCCACTGTCTGACCTTCCCCCACCCCCTCGACACTTGCACACACTCTATTCCCTTTCCCCACACTCTGCTGAGCACAGGAGCTTGGGCCTCAGGCGCAGTCTGGGAGGGCACACTGGTGGGACATGAAACGGAATCTGGGGTCTGGGTTTGTGGGCCAAGGTTCATTGCTCACCGTCTGGGGAGAGGTGGGCAATGGTTGGACCAGGGCTTCTGAACTGTATAGGTGCTTTTTCCTGAAACGAAGCTCCGATTCCGTGGGCCTAGCGTAGGGCACACATTCCACTTTCCTCAAGATCTCTGCGAGCTCCTCTGTATGCTGCTGCTGGGCCAGGGGCTGCCCTTTGAGGACTGAGGGACTGGAGTGAGTGCCCGCTGTGGGGTAAGAGGTGTAGCTCTGGCAACTTCAGTGGAGAGGAGGTGCCAGAATGGAGTGGGCACCGGCGGGAGCTTGGAAGGGAGGTCTCATTGCCACCATCCCAGAGAGGCATCGGGACGGGTCTGGCACTGCAGCACCTGGGATGAGGTGGTGTCAGAGTCAGCCGCGCACTAATTGCTTATTCAATTCAGGTCACTGAGGGTACAGCGGAGTGGCCTCTGCCAAGTACCGTGCTGTGCCACCCTCCTTAGGGCGGGGTGCCTGCTGGTCTCAGGTCTCCAGACTGGACGGAGAGGGAGTGCTGGTCAGGGCCCCAGGGCTAGCTGTGCCCATTTGTCCTTTGGACATCCCAGCTGCTTTGCTGTTATCGTGGCCGTCGGTCGGTGTGTGACTGGCTGTCCCTGGGGGTGCTGCTGACTCTCCTCTCCAGGTGTCACTGGCCACCTCTCAGGGTGTTTCTAGGTGCCTTTTAAGGCCTTGCTGTCTCTCTAAATAATGCTGTCCAGAACTCTGGTTGTTATTGGAAATGTCACAGTGTCACTGGCTTCTGTTTGGGTGATGCAGGATGTATTTGTCTCAGGGTATCGGCAGCCATCCCTCAGGCTGTCTCTCCAGCTGTCTTCTCAAGCTGTTTCTCAGGTTGCATCATGCTGAGGTGACCAATAAGAGAGAGAGCTTGAACCTGGCCCAGGCCCGACTGCTCAGGGAGCCACACTGAGACTCTGTCCTCCGGGAATGGTTTCGCCTGATTCTCCCTCTCAGGCTCTTGGGGAAAAGCCCTCATGGGTGCTATCCTCCTGGCAGGAGGTCCCCCGAGGCTCCTGGGCCCAAAATGGAGCGAGACCACCCCAGAGAGTGCCTCTGCTTTCAATTCCTGCTTGTCCCCCCAGAAATCTCCCAGGGGGCTGGGGACGGTGGCTCTCGCCTGTAATCCCAGCACTTTGGGAGGCCAAGGCAGGTGGATTGCCTGAGCTCAGGAGTTTGAGACCAGCCTGGACAACATGGCGAAACCCCATCTCTACCAAAAAATACAAAATATTAGCTGGGCGTGGTGGCGCATGCCTGTGATCCCAGCTACTCAGGAGGCTGAGGCAGGAGAATCACTTGAACCCAGGAAGCAGAGGCTGCAGTGAGCCAAGATCCTGCCACTGCACAACTCCAGACTGGGCGACAGAGTGAGACTCCATCCCTCCCCCACCCCAAAAAAGAAATGTCCCTGGGAAACCAGGAAAAGAGGGATTTCAAAGCCAGGCAGACTCAGGTTCCAGATGCCGGCTGCATGGCGTGGCCAATTATTCAGCCTCTTCGACGGGAAGAACTGGGATGAGAGGAGCAGTCTCCAAGGGCAGCTGTGGGAAAGAAAAGCAGTGGCATCTGCAGAGCTCTTGGCACAATGCTCAGCATACAGCAGGTGCTTAATAGATGACTCCTCCCCACTCCAACCCCAAGGGCCTGGTGCAGCCTGACTCAGGAGCGAGGTGGGGCCTGGCAGGTGGCAGTGAATGGTCTGCCTGCACACTGTGCCCTCCCGCCCAGCCTGGGCCTGTGAACAAGGCCGGGGTGTCATGCCATGCTCAGCTCCACACATGCTGTCATTACCCAGGGGCTTCTCAGCATAGATTTGTGGAAAATTTAATAAAAGGATATTAAATACCAGCTCCAGACAGCCTGTGATCCGTGCATATCTTCCGGAGCCTCCAGATTGGGGCATCTGCCGCCAGGCGCTTAGAGACCCCCCCACTTGCATGGGTGATGGGTCCCCTCTCCTCACTCCCCTCTGTCTCTCTCCTGCCTTTGTTTACACCTCCCTGCATCCCAGTCCTTTGGAGGTTGGAGTTGTTAATGTAATTTCCTGCCTTGTTCCAGAAAGCCTCTGCCTGGAAACCAGCTCTGAGAACAGAGCTTCTGTAGGAGCCTCCGGACCTAAGAGGTTCCCAATGAGGATGCCCCTTCAGAAGGGCCTTGGTGGCCGGGCGGAACTGGGCATAGGGTCTTGGCTCCTCCTGGGATGCCTGGTGGATAGGGCTGGACTTGACCTCTGGTTTTGTGTAGGTTCTGTAATTCCAACAGGAAGGCCTGTGGAGTAGCTCCTTGGTGGCTCTGAGAGGATGATGAGGGCCGTTGTGAGCTCCCCACTTCTCGGCGCTTGCATGTCACCCGCTTCTGTGCCTCATGATCATTCAGCCCCACCCCAGAGCCTGGAAACGGGGAGGGAGGGAGGTGCTGCCAGGGACCCCTCCTTTCCCAAAGCCACCTGCTTTTCAACACCTGTCTTTCTTTCCTTCACTCACACACTGCTTCGGAGTTTGACTGCGTGTCAAGCTCTTGGTTTCTAGGCCCTGCTTCTTGGGACCTATAAAAGTGTGGATGGGGGCTTTGCTCTGGGGCAGGAGTCTGCAGAGAGCTGGGCATGGGGACTGGCCAGTCCCCTATTATGGGCTGGGGACCGTTTGCAGCCTTTGTACCTTGCCAATCTGCATGTGCAGGCAAGAGGTGGTTTCGAAGTTGCGCGACCTCCAGTGCATCAACATAACCTCTGTGCTGTTTTCCTACAAACTAAAGCCCAGAAGCCCTTCCGGCTCCCACTGTGGGGTTGCCCTGATGGTTTAAGATGATAACAGATAGGAAAATCCTCTGTAAATGGGAAGGCTTCATCACTCTTGGAACTTAAGATTGCTGTAAAGAGGAGGGCAGTGACCTCCATCAGTATATTAAATTCATTAGGAAATAAACCCGGGGAATGTGTTCCAGTCCTGGGAGAGGATCCTGCTCACTTTGCACAGATCCCCTTGGGCCAGGGATGGGGAAGGCCCTGGAAAGTGAGTTATGGAGCCTAAGGAGACTTTTCTGTGGTTTCGGCTGATTCTGTGGATGCCAGAGCCCAGCAGCTGCCCGGCCCCTCCTCGCTCACAGGAGCAGGCGGCGTTGCAGCAGGAGGGATTCAAGGGCGGCCGAGAAGGTGGTGACTCAGTTCAGAAATGGGTGGAGAAGATAAATCCCGGGAGGTTGGTGTCTCTGCAGCTGAGAGGTCCACCTGGTGTTCCAACCGGGTGGCAGCATGGGCAGATGCGACTGTGAGGGCGCACCTGCGAGCCAGCCACACGCTTGTGCGTGCAGAGGGGGCGTCCGTGTGGAGTGGGGAATCCCACGTGATGTGGAGACTCAGACACAACACAGAGCAGTGAACAGAGCATGGGATTCAGGGACAGACAGAGCCTCAAACTGGACAGCATTGCTCTGCAGCGAGGCCTGACCCACAGCAGGTACTCAGGAAGGGGGAGTGGCCCTTGAGATCATGACCTGCTCTGTCCCAGCCACCCCCAGGCGACGTCCTCATAGAGCGGCTCCCATCCAGCAGGCGCAAGGGCATGGCTGTGCAGAAGGCTCACCTCTGCCCCTCTCTCCTGCTCCAGAAAAAAAGCAAGGTGCACTACCATGTCGCAGTCATCATCAACTACCTGGGCCACTGTATCTCCCTGGTGGCCCTCCTGGTGGCCTTTGTCCTCTTCCTGCGGCTCAGGTGAGAAGACCCCAGCACTGCGTCCTCTTGTCCCCGGGCCCTAGAGCAGGAGCAGGGTGGAGAAGTGAGAGGAGCAGCTCGAGGTCGGGGTGGGGGTTGCTGGGAGAGGGTGGCAGGGGCTGGCTTATCCGAGAGTCTCAGGTCTCCGGGAACCTCTGGCAGAGCCGCTCTGCCCCTCCCCAGTAGCTGCTGGAATGGTGGGGAGGGACAAAGCTTGTCTTATGTCACCCACACCCAGGCCGGGCTGCACCCATTGGGGTGACCAGGCAGATGGAGCCCTGGAGGTGGGGCTCCATGGAGTGGTGCCCCATTTCAGGTTCGAAGGTACCTGGGCCCCAGCACTACCGGCAAGGATGCAGGTGGCAGAGCCAGGGATGGGGATGGTTGGGATCAGGAGCCGAGCATCAGGGCTGGAGGCTGGGAGCAAGGCTGACCCCTGTGACTGTCCATCCTGGAATGGCAGGGAGTGGAAGGCACCCCCAGGGGAAGCAGGCATCCCCAGGAAGCCAGCTGCCCTGGTCCATGGAGTGCCAGGCAGAGCCTGGGGCTTTTGTCTGGGTGGGTTGCAGGCAGGAAGGGCTCCATGGGGCATTAGGAGAGCCTTGCTGTCACTTCCCTGTGTGACTTGGCCAGTCAGCCCTACCCTGTGCCTCAGTTTCCTCATCTACACATCTGGGTTGGGGTGATGTGGGTGGCCTGCCCCTTATCCTCTCTCTCCTGTCGCTCCCATCATCCACCTGCCCTGCTGCACCAGGAGCATCCGGTGCCTGCGAAACATCATCCACTGGAACCTCATCTCCGCCTTCATCCTGCGCAACGCCACCTGGTTCGTGGTGCAGCTAACCATGAGCCCTGAGGTCCACCAGAGCAACGTGGTGCGTCCTGGCGGGGGAGCGGGGAGCAGGTCAGGCCAAACCCACGTCAGAGAAGGGGCCCAGGTGGGCCTGCCCTGCAGAGGAGGAGCCCACAGAACAGGAGTGGGATCCCAGGGTGTGCCCCGTCCTGCCTGGGGGAGGCCCAGGGCCAGGGTTTGGTGCCGCCCCTGCCCCTCATCATCATCTTTGGTTGGGGGTGGGGTGGCAGGGCTGGTGCAGGTTGGTGACCGCCGCCTACAACTACTTCCATGTGACCAACTTCTTCTGGATGTTCGGTGAGGGCTGCTACCTGCACACAGCCATCGTGCTCACCTACTCCACCGACCGGCTGCGCAAGTGGATGTTCATCTGCATCGGCTGGGGTGAGCTGGGCAGCCACCTCCCCAGCCTGGGCAGTGGCAGCCACCGTGCTGCCGTCTCCTCACCCAGACTCAGGCCAGAGGGCTGGGGGGCCTGAGGGATGGAGGTCAGGTTGGGGCAGTGGGGTGTGCGCCATAGCCCTCTGCTCCTCTTGGGGGTGGGGGGCAGCAGGAGCACCTTGAAGGAGGTGTGTGAGTTTGAGATCCACCCTGGGTAACCCTAGACCGCCTGGAGCCTGGGCTGCACTGGGGTCCTCCAGGCCCACATCCCCCAGCCCCCGCTGAGGGCTCTGTGACAGCCCATCTCTCCCCCAGGTGTGCCCTTCCCCATCATTGTGGCCTGGGCCATTGGGAAGCTGTACTACGACAATGAGAAGTAAGTCACCTCCTTTCCCTTCCTGCCCCCAAGGTTTAGGCTCCCAGCCTAGCTTGGTGACACTCCCAAGGGCCTTGGGCCATGCTGGCTTTCCCCTCAGGACCATGGCTTCTGCATCTATAAAGGGAGGGATCTGGGGGGTTGGACTCATTCAGAGGGTCCCTGCCTGTGCTCTGCCTGGGTGGGACTGGACAAGCAGGATCCAGCCTCCTTTATCTGCCTTGAGCTTACACAGGAAACAGCCTGGAGGCAGACTGCCCAGGTTCAGAATCGTGGCTCCATCATTAAATAGCTGTGTGACCTTGGACGGATTACTGCAGTGTGCCTCAGTTTCCTCATCTGTAAAATGGACATACTGCCTCAAAGGGCTGTTGTGGGGTGATATCAGTCCATCTATATGGACTGATTAAGCATTTAGAATCGGACCTGGCACATAGAGCAAATGCTGTATAAATGTGTTCTCGTAATATTAAGACATCTTAATAGAAGAGTCTGTGAATTTAACAGAAGTGGACCTAGATGATCCCAGAGGCTTCTTCCAGCTCTGAAGTTCTTTGGTTCCTTATGAAACGGACTCAGGTGTTTCCGGTTGTGCCTGGAAACTTGATTTCTGCTGCAGTGGTGCTCAGCCTTGGCTCACATTAGAATCACCTGGGATGCTTCGAAAAGTACCAGTGCCCAGGCTTCACCGCCAGAGAGTCAGGTGTAATTAGTCTGCGGTGTGGCCTGGCACCCAGAATTCTTGAAGACTGCCCAGGTGATTCTAATGTGCAGCTAAGATTGAGAACCACTGAGAGAGAGGGGGGCAGAAAAGGTGGACGTGGATGGCAGGGGAGCCCCAGGACCTTGTTTGCCAAACAGGTGTTCCCAGGAACCTATCTGACTGACTGACCTGGCGTCCAAGTGGCCTCCACCACAGTGACAAGCCCACTCCTCACCCCACGGAGGGGAGGGGGCCTGCATGGCTTCATTGGGCTGACGAAGGAGCCTGGAAGATTATCTTGCGTGTTTATGAGGTTGACTCCCTCCTGACTCAGGCTAGCTGAGGCCTTGGGAGGCCGAGGCGGGCGGATCACTTGAGGTCAGGAGTTTGAGACCAGGCTGGCCAACATGGTGAAACCCCGTATCTACTAAAAAAAAAAATACAAAAATTAGCTGGGTGTGGTGGTGCGCACCTGTAGTGCCAGCTACTTGGGAAGGCTGAGGCAAGAGACTCTCTTGAACCCAGGAGGCAGAGGTTGCAGTGAGCCAAGATCGTGCCACTGCTCTCCAGCCTGGGCAACAGAGCGAGACTCCACAAGCCTCAAAAAACAAAGCAAAACAAAAACTGTTTGGGCTAAAGGAGAAAGTGAGTCTGAGCGGCTCTGAAGCCCCACCTGGTGGTGAAAATTCAACACTGCAACAGAGGGGATCTGAGTGTGAGGAAGCAGAAACGAACTTGCAGACCAGAGGCTCAAGGACTGGACCCAGCCCACAGAAGCTGTGTGTGGCCGGCAGGGTGTTTTCTGGAAACTCGATTTTGTAGCCAACCTTTAAAAAATCCAAAGGTTTCGTATACAAATCTCAATTTCTGGCTTATGAGATCTAGCCACTGGGGGTCTTCTTACCCACGAGGACATAAGGGCTTCCAGTTTGTCTGGTCCCCACCCGCTCCCCAGGCCTCCCTGGAGCTTGCTGGAGGGACACTCAGGAAAATGCAAAGCAATTACCCCCTGCAGCAGGTAGAACCTGTGCAGATGTTCCTCTCAAGGTCGTTCGGGCTGCGACTGGACAGGTTCAGGCTGAGATTGAGAACTGCTGGGTGCCCACTGGGTGACAGGTGTGGTGCCACTCCCACCAGCAGCCCCCCAGAGGACATGCTGGGCCTCAACCACAGCCAGGGGACCGTGAGGAGGAGCCAAGGATGCAGCTTGCATATTGAGCCCACGCCCGTTCCCGGCCACTCAGTCTTTCCCACTGTCTGCCTCCTGCCCCGATGCTTGCTTCCAACTTTGCATCTCATCACAGAGGATGCTGTCCATTCTGCAGATGGGACAACTGAGGCTTGGCAGTGGGATCAAGTGACTTGACCTTCTGCCAGGGCTGGAATTGGGACATCTACCTCCTGGCTTCCAGCCCCAGTCCTGTCCTGGCCAAGCACTGTCCCTCCCCATGCCACCAAGGCAGATGCAGATGATGACTCCTCCCCTTTCCTCTGTGGCCTTCTAGGTGCTGGTTTGGCAAAAGGCCTGGGGTGTACACCGACTATATCTACCAAGGCCCCATGATCCTGGTCCTGCTGGTAAGAACCTGGGTAGGGGCAGGAGACAGGGCCCAGTGGGGAGGGGCGATCAATGCCAACCGTGGACAGAAAGGACCCCTCTGCCTAGAGGTGGGGGCCACCCAAGGAGGGGGCATGGGCCAGGGATGTGCAGCTGCTCCTGAGGAGGAGGGAGAACAGCAGGAGCACTGAGGCCAGAGAGGCCAGAACTGAGAAGCCTGGGTCCCCAGCCTCTTGCACACTCCAGCCCGCTGGTGTGCTCAAATTGCAGATCAATTTCATCTTCCTTTTCAATATCGTCCGCATCCTCATGACCAAGCTCCGGGCATCCACCACGTCTGAGACCATTCAGTACAGGTAACCGGGTACCGCCTCCCCCAGGCCTCCCCCTGATGAAACCCTGCTCCCCATGCCTCTCACGTGCCAGAGACCTGCCACTCCCTCCCCCGACCTGGCCCTCTGCTGAGCCAGCGGGCAGCCAGTCCTGGGGTGGGCTGTGACTCCAAGCCTCCCCACCTGCCCCACCCCAGGAAGGCTGTGAAAGCCACTCTGGTGCTGCTGCCCCTCCTGGGCATCACCTACATGCTGTTCTTCGTCAATCCCGGGGAGGATGAGGTCTCCCGGGTCGTCTTCATCTACTTCAACTCCTTCCTGGAATCCTTCCAGGTACAGCCCTGGAGGGGCACACTGGCACCTCCTTGGGTGGGGATTCTCCCAAGCAGATGCCTGGAGGGTAGGAGGCCAGGGAGAAGCAAGGGGCAGCCCAGAGGCTGGGTGGGCAACACCTGTGACCGACCTTTGACGCCTCCTCTCTCCTCCCCAGGGCTTCTTTGTGTCTGTGTTCTACTGTTTCCTCAACAGTGAGGTGAGGACCTGGGGGCCCTGCGGCGGGGCTCAGGGCTGCAAGGCCTGTTGGGGCTGGCGATAGTCTAAAGCCTTCTCCTCCCCTCCCAGGGCTGGCTCTCTCCCTCCCTGTTCCTCCTAGGTCCCTAGGGTGATGCTGCTGGGAGCCCCAGGCCGGCCCCTCCCACCTGTCCACTCCCACAGTGACAGCTCTCTCCTTTGCTCTCAGAGGCCGCTGGCACCAGGCTGGAAGCCAGAGCTCCAGTATCTTTGATGAGCCTGTGACAACCAGGAAGGGCTGAGCCCTGGGCAGGGGATATGTGTGGGTTGAGAGCAGGGAGCCTTGATGGCAAAGGCCATATGGTGCCTTCGTGTGGGTTAGAAAAGGGTGCCCCTTCCCCAGGACACTTGAGAAATCTGTTCCGGCAAATATGCAAAGCAGCCATGTTAAGGCTGAGTGCTGTCGCCTCCTGAGGACTTCTGTGTACTCAGCTGACCTGCACAGCCTCTTACCTGTGCAGCTGCTCGTGCCGACCCAGGGGAGGGAGGGGGTCCTGAGCCCCAGGCTCAGATGTCGTGCTCCTTCCTGTGCCCACAGGTCCGCTCTGCCATCCGGAAGAGATGGCACCGGTGGCAGGACAAGCACTCGATCCGTGCCCGAGTGGCCCGCGCCATGTCCATCCCCACCTCCCCCACCCGTGTCAGCTTTCACAGCATCAAGCAGTCCACAGCAGTCTGAGCTGGCAGGTCATGGAGCAGCCCCCAAAGAGCTGTGGCTGGGGGGATGATGGCCAGGCTCCCTGACCACCCTGCCTGTGGAGGCGACCTGTTAGGTCTCTCATGCCCACTCCCCCAGGAGCAGCTGGCACTGACAGCCTGGGGGGCCACTCTCCCCCTGCAGCTGTGCAGGACTGTAGCTCATGAGTGGAAAGTCATCTACAGGACTGGGCCAGTCCCGGGGCCTCTGGCTTCCCTGCCCAGTCCTCCGTGGAGAAGGGACGTGGAAATGAATGGAAATGGGCTGCTAGACACCCACAGCAGCACACGCGTCCCTCCAAGGCTGTCTTCTCCCAGAGCACAAGAAGTCCAGCCGACTGGGACCTGGGGCTGCCCTCGGCAACTGTGGGGAGGCCGTTTGCTGCCCCGGGGCATCATGGGCAACTTGTGACAGCCTCTGACTCACCACGATGACGCCTCTGGACCTCGGTGATGCCTTCCGACACCACTGGGAACCAAGGGCCCTCGCTCAGGAACCCTGGAGACAGAAGTCAGGTGTCATCATCAGACGTGTGGCCACAGCACTAGAGTCACCCCCCAGGCCTCCAGAACCTCATTGACACTGTGGCACTGCCACCAGCAATGCCCTGCCTCGCTGCCTTCATCCTGAACATTTACTACCCTGCAGGCCAGGCCAGCTTCCCCTCACTTAACCACAGGCAGTACCCTCACCCCACACCAGTCACCTCCTGCCCCTTTTCCTCTTTTGTGAGAAGAGGGGGCTGGAGGGGGCAGAGTGGCCTGTGAGCAAGAGCCAGGGGTGTCCCAGCCCTGGCCTCTGGGGCAGAGCTTGTAGCCCCGGATGGCCTCTGGGGCAGGACCACTAGCTAAACAAGCCAGGAGAAGGCTCCTGCCCAAGTGGCTCTTGGGACAACATGCTGCTTACACTCTAGGTGTGGACTGGCTACAGCCCCCACTGACCTGCCCATGTCCAGAGGGACTGGACAGCCAGAGCAGGGCTTTGGGGGGCACTAGAAGATGAGGGTATCGGCTGTGAGGCGGGTGGCTGGTATAAATAATAATATTTATCTTTTCAACCAGCATTTGTGAAGGCCTGGACTCCACAGGGGGCTGGATGGAGAGGGTGTCTCACAGAAGTGGGAGCCATTTCCCAGCTTTCAGGGGCTGCTGTGTTGCTGGGAAACCTGACCCCACTCTCACCCCGGCAAGGATGGTGCCAGGAGAGCCCCCGAGGGCCAGGAGAGGGGTGAGGGCAGAAGGGAGGGCTTCGAGGAACAGGTGGATCTGGCCAGGGCCTCCTTAGTTAGGGACAGCTTGTTGTGAGGAGGTCAAGTAGAGGGAGAGGAGGACCAGGGTTAAGGATGCAGAGGAGGGACACCATGGGTCAGGGGAAGGAACAAAGGAGACAGGAGTGTGTCCCAGCCCTGGGCAGGAGCTGAGCTGAGGAATGGGAAGCAGAATTAGGGTGCTGGGCCACCGGACAGGCCAGAAATGCAGCTATCTCCACTTGGGCACCACAAGAGACCATCCCTGAGACCCTGAGGTTTCTTGTGCAAACTCGAGGGAAGGGGAGTACAGAGAGGGCAACAGGGAGTGAAGCCAGGCAAGGAAGGCAGGGGAAAGGGGGGAGGCTAGAGAGGGACACAGTAGCCTGTGAGCAAGAGACAGGTATGTCCCAGCCCTGGCCAGTGCCGCTCTGATGTGGGCAGCACGCTCTTGGGCTCCCCTGCCTGCTGGCTTCAGTGCCCCCAACTCTGAGCTGGAGCTTGTAGCCCTGGGTGGCCTCTGGGGCAGGACCAACATTCCAACACTGTTGCGGGTGCCTGGAGCTCCCTTCCGCTGGGGAAGCCCTCCCTCATCCCACCCAACAGGTGAGGGAGCTGGGGTATTTATCCACCATCTCCCATCAGCTGTGGGTTGAGGGCTGCTCCCAGGGGGACATGAACTCTTCTGCATTCCCACATCAGGCTACAGAGGGCCAGAGCGAGTTCTCAGGCACAGAAACGCGCAGGTGGGTGGAAGCCAGTGTGTGCTGCATTGGAGGGGCAGAGGGTGTGGGTGGAACACCAGAACTCGACACAGGGCCCCACTGAAGCCCGGGCCTTGTCTCTGGGTCTCTCTAACCAGGGAGGAGAGCCCATGGGTGGGGCGTATGTATGCACATGTGCACTTGTGCACCCGGGCGCACACAAGAGCTTGCAGCGTCAGGACACCAGGAACAGACAAAGTCAACGCAGTGCCAGGAGCCCCACGGCACCTGCTGAGGGAGGGCAGGTTTCACTGGGAAAAGCCTGGGCTCGGGGGTAGCTAAGGATATCCTTGAAGGCCCTGTGGGGTACTCTGCTCTGCCAATTCTCCAAGCTCTGTGCCCTGAAGTAGAGAGATGGGGTGGAGGACCCAGCGAGCACCATGACAGAGGCAGGCTGGAGGCTTCCAGAGCAACTTGGGGGTATTGTGGGAAGTGGAGAGAAGCCAAGTAAAGGGTCCTGGCTGCCTGGAGAGACCAGAAGTGACCTGAGTCTCTAATGGCCACAACGGAGACGGCTTTCCCAAATCTGCCTCTCACCCAGTGAAGGCAGAGACAGGAGAAGGCAAGGCTTTCCCGAGACAATGCCGGTGGGGATGGGATGGGGGGCGCACCCCAGGGGTGGAGGAGCTGAGAGGGTGGGCGTGGGGGGGAGACAGGGAAGGGATGGTACAGACCAGGAAGTGTGCGTAAGCGCAGCCTGGCCGCACCCCGCTTTCCTGCGTGGGCTTCCTGGCAGCTCTCACTGCCAGGCACCTTCTGGGCACCTACTGTGTGCTTAGCACTGTGCTAGGTCTTGGGTGAGAGGGAGATGAGCAGCCACCCCAGGGGGGACCCCCGGTACCCCAAAAAATACAAAGCTCAGAGCCTCTGGCTCTGGAAGGCCACCAAGAGGACAGCTCCAAGACAAGTCTGGGGGTCATCCGAGAAGCTGGAGGCGGAATCCCTGGGCAGGCAGATGGAGCCTGGGGCTCCCCTCCCATTCTGAGGGTGGAGGGGCTGCTTCAGGGCACAGCCAGAAACATCTGAGCCTCAGAACCTGTAGCCCAGAGGCCCAGAGTTCTGTCTCCCGTGGCAGACGTGCGCTCTGGGCTTCGGCGCAGAGAACGCATCCCTGAGACCGGGCATCTGGGCCATTCTGCTGCGGTGCAGCTTGGGGTGGCGAGGCCCCTGTGGGAGTGAGTGGGGTGTGATGAGCCGAAAAACACACATGCGACTACACAGAGTTGGGGGAGCTACTGGGGGCCCTCCAAGCTGCAGTGGTGGGGGAGGGTCACTGGAGGCCCTCCAAGACCCGAAAGACCTCATGCCTAGAAGAATTTCTCTCCACACCATGCCCAAAGGCTGCGGTCCCCTAATGCTACCCCCACCTAAGCCCATTTCTCCTTGACATCCTCCCTCATGGGCACAGAACAGCAGTGGAGGCAAAACCCCACTGTTTTTCCAGTTCAGGCCACCCCCTCCCCGTCCCTTAGTGTGACAGCACAGCCCCTGCCCAGAGGTCCTCAGCTTCACCTCCAGGCCTCCTTCTCTAGCCCCCTGCTACTGATGGCTCAGCTCTCCTGGGACCAGGCCTGGGAGGGGAGTCAGACTGGGAAAACCATGTGTTAGCGGGTGAGGTGGGTTTTGAATCCATAGACTAATACTTTCATTGTGGGTATTGTAGATTACTTTGCCATCCACAAATGTCCTTATAACATTTGTCTTCTAATCCTCCACTAGCCCACAGAGGTAGTAACCCGCCTGTTTTGCAGCCAGGGAAACTGAGGCGTGGTAGCTCCCCTGAGGTTGAAGGTCTGGTTCCAAGTCTAAGGCTTTTTTCACCCCTCAGTGAACTGAAGTCTTTGGGGCTTGGGTTCTGGGAGGCCAGAGCCAATGAAGAGCTCTGTGGTAAGAGGGCAGCAAGGTGGCCTCAGGGTCTCGGACTGATCTGGGACGTGCCCCACGTGAAGATGGGACGTTCCCAAAGATGGCCCCACCAGTGTCCAGCCACCGAGTCCAGCTGGGTGGAAGCAAAAAGAGTTCTGTGGATCCAGCATCTCCTTCCCCAGCTTCCTGACATCCTCCACACCCCCACTCCTTAAAATGATGCTTCATTTCAAACAGTGCGGCCGGGGCCACCATCAACCACAGTGGGCCTCCCTACACACCAGTCAGGGAGTGTGCCACTGGCCTCCAGCCCAGGGGTATCTCAGAGCCACCTCATCCAAACTGCCAACGACTTCAAACTCAGCTGCCCACACTTGCTTCAAACCGAGGGGAATGCTTTCTACAATTTGCTAACAGCCACACTGATCATTATTGATTGTTTACCGGGCATCGGGTGCTGCTTAGCCCCTCACATGTTTATCCCATTGACTCTTTACACTGCCCTATGAGCCAGGGACTGTTACCTCTGTTTAACAGATAAGGTAAATAAAGCCCAGAGAGGTTAAGATACTTGCCTGATGGCACCCACGGATGGATGAAAAGCCAGGGAGGCTACACTAGGCCTCCATGAAGCTTAACCCCTATGCAGTGGGAGTTCTTAGTAAGGCTGTCCTCCCAGCCCCACTGCCCCTTCCAATCCCCTCCCCAGGGAAATCCTTCCATCCCCTGTCTGTGGTCAAACAGCATTCAGAGATGAGCTAGCTGAAGGAACTGAAGCCTGCAGAGCGTGGGCCTCGGGCAGCCCACTCCCCAAATCGGGCCTCCAAGCCAGTTCCAGCTGCCAGTCCCCCGTCCCCAGCCCCATCCCATCTCTACCTCGGAGCATCACCTCCCACCCTTGCCCTCAGCTCACCAGCCCCTGCAGGTCCTGCTGGCAGACCAGGCTCAAGAGAGACCTGGGCTGTACATATTTATCAAAACTCTCAGTGGGTTGGGAACACCGAGACCATTATTTGGAGATAAGGCCAGAGACCACCCTTGGCCGCCAGATAGCAGCCCTACCAGCTTCCGTCCCTCCAAGGGGTCCTGGACTGATCCCTGCTGCCCAGCCTCATTGCCCATTGGGCCAAGGCAAGTGGGGCAGAAGAAGGGGTGGGGGCCTCTTAGGTGCCTAAGGAGCCCAGGTTGGGGGCATAGCAGGCATCAGCTAGGCTGAGGGGCATGGGGGCAGCAGCCAGTGGGCCTGCCTGGCTCACGCTCAATACAGGGGAAGGGGGAGGGAGTGGACGGCAATCCACTCTAGAACATGCAGTGGGGAAGCTGCTGGGCAGGGCAGCAGGGGCAGGTGAGGGGCCAGGTGAACTAGGCCCTTTTCCACCCTTCCTGAGACCCGCTGCGCGGGGTTTGTTGCCCTTGCTGCCCTGTGTAGTGAAGTTAAATGCTCCAGGTGTACGTAGGTCCTCAAGTAGAAAGCAGAGACATTATCCCAGCCTGCTCTGGGCAGCCACCCTGAGAGCCCAGTCCACAGCTGAGGGGGCAGTAGGGTGCGGGGAGGGAGGGGGAGTTGTGGGGAACAAAGTCGCAGACGCAGGGGGTGCCCTCCAGGAAAGGAGTTGAATCTGGAGGTCAGTGGGGGTGGGGAGGGTGGCAGGGCTGAAGTCTTGGAGCAGGATTTCAGCCTGGCAGTGGGCCATAGCCTCAAGGAGCATCAGCCACTCATGTGAAGGCACTGACCAAGGCTCCAAGTGGCCACCAGAGGAGCGATTCCAGGGCTGATGGATGGGGGTGGGCACAGGGATGGGGGACCTGGGGAAGCAGTGATCAAACATACCGCGAAAGCCTTCTGTGAGCGGAGTCCCAGGCAGAGTCTCGGAGGGAATGAGCCTTCTGAGAATTATCTGAGCCCTGGGTAGATCCACGGGTAGATCTGGGAGAAGGGGCAGGAGCAAGGTGTCTGTGCAGACCCCCAAATTGGGGCATGTGCTGGTCTGATGGAGTCCGGAAGAACTAAAATGAGACCCGTCCTGAGGAGAGAGCAGCTGGAGGGGACTGGAGTTGCTCCATTTCATCTGGGCACAGTGGTTCACACCTGTAATCCCAGCACTTTGGGAGGCCAAGGTGGGTGGATCACTTGAGGTCAGGAGTTTGAGACCAGCCTGGCCAACATGGTGAAACCCTGTCTCTCCTAAAAATACAAAAATCAGCCGGGCGTGGTGGCACGTGCCTGTAATCCCAACTACTCAGGGAGGCTGAGGCAGGAGAATCCCTTGAACCTGGGAGGTGGAGGTTGCAGTGAGCTGAGATTGTGCCACTGCACTCCAGCCTGAGGGACAAGAGCGAAATTCCATCCCCAAAAAAAGTCCCATTTCAACCATGTTAGTGCACAATTCAGTGACTTTAAATACACAATGGCATGCAACTGTCACCGCTGAGAGAGAAAAAGTTCTGGAACTTCTTCATCACCCCAAATGGGAACCCCACACCCCTCAGGCACTCCTCATTCTCCCCTCCCCCAGCCCCTGCCCGCCACGCATCTGCTCTCTGCCTCTGCAGATCTGCCTGTTTGGGCTGTTTCATGTAAGCAGAATTAATTGTACAATATGTGTCCCTTTGTGTCTGGCGTCTTCATTTAGCATAATGTGTTTCCACTTAGCATAATGTTTTCAAGGTCCATGCACATGGTAGCAGGTATCAAAACGTCATTCCTTCTTATGGCTGAACGCGATTCCCTTGTGTGGAGAGACGGCAGTTTCTCCATTCGTCAGCGGATGGACGTTTGGGTTCTCTCCACCTATTCCAAGTTATTATGAATGGTCCTGCTGTGAGCATGCATGTGCACGCTTTTGTTTGAAGGCCTGATTTCAATTCTTTGGGATATATATCCAGGAGTGGAAGTGTGAGGTCATATGGTAACTCTTTGTTTAACTTATCTGGGAGCCGCCAAGCCGTTTCCTGCAGCAGCAGCACAATTTTCCATACACCAGCAGTGTATGAGGGTCCCAGCTTCCCTATATCCTCCACAAAGCTTGTGATTGTCTGGGTTTTGTGACAAAGTGGATGTGCTGGTTCTTGTTTTTTAAAAGATCCACGACTCCCTGGGTGGAGAACAGGGCCCCCAGTGAAAGCCTAGGTTGCTCATTCATTGCTGGGGGGCCAGAAAGGCTTTTACTATCGCAGCCCTCTGTCAGGGGCTGCCTGCCCTCCTGCCCTGCTGTGCCCAGCATCTATGTGCTCGGATTCAGAGAGGTGCGCCCAGTTTAGACACTGCTGTACTCTGTGATAAGAACCCTACGGGCGAGCCTCCCTCTCCTAACCACCCTCCTGGCCAACCTCCCCTTTGAAATGGGAGCACTCGGAAGGGACAGCTGGCAGCCTCCTCCCCTGGGCTCTGCCTGCTTCTCCTCACACCGGCTGGTGGAGTGTCTGCCAGTCACTTGCATTTGTTCCCGAACATGTTTCTGACAGTTCACTTGTCATTGTAATTACTGTTGTAATCTAACTAAATGTTATATTACTGATGAATCAGAAGTGCACTAACAAGGAGAGATGTTTCTTACGAAAATTCAGGCTAATGCTTCGAAAGATACTTTACAGTTGAGTCACCAAAAATATTGGCAAATTAGGTGTGGGTGAGACGAGTGTAAATAACTGGGTGGGAGAGAATTGTCAGAATCACAGGTGGGTTCCACTTGCTGACCACTTCACAGGGCCCTTTAAACTCGCCCTCCACTTCAAAGAATCAACAGCTGATGTTGGAGATGATGTTTCATCCCTGTGGGTTTCCCAAGGAAAGCAGTGTGGGACTGTAAGAGACGGACCTGTAATAGAAGGAGAGGCCTTCACAGGCACGGTGGCTCACGCCTGTAATCCCAGCACCTTGGGAGACCAAGGTGGCCGGATCACCTGGGGTCAGGAATTTGAGACCAGCCTGGCCAACATGGTGAAACCCCATATCTACTAAAAATACAAAATTAGCCGGGTGGGGTGGCAGGCACCTATAATCTCAGCTACTTTGGAGGCTGAGGCAGGAGAATCGCTTGAACTCGGAGGTGGAGGTTCAGCGAGCCAAGATTGGTGCCACTCGTTCTCCAGGCCTGCCTAGGGGACAGTGAGAACTTGTCCTCAGAGAGAAAAAAAAAAGAAAAGAAGAAGCAAGATAGAAAGAAGAAGAAGAACGAAGAGGAAGACAAGAGGGAAGAACGAAGGAAGAGAAAAGAAGAGAAGAAGGAAGAGAAGAGAGAAGGAGAAGAGAGAAAAAGGAAAGGAAAGGAGAAGTCCTTGAGACAAGACCAGTGATTGGCCCAGGCACAGTGGCTCATGCCTATAATCCCAGCACCTTGGGAGGCCAAGGTGGGCGATTCACTTAAGGCCAGGAATTCAAGACCAGCCTGGGCAAAATGGTGAGACACCATCTGTACTAAAAATACAAAAATTAGCCAGGCATGGTGGCGCACGCCTGTAATCCCAGCTACTCGGGAGGCTGAGGGGAGAGAAATGCTTGAAACCAGGAGGTGGAGGTTGAAGTGAGCTGAGATCATGCCACTGCACTCCAGCCTAAGCAACACAGCAAGACCCTGTCTCAATAAATAAATAAATAAATAAACAAAGAAAGAAAGAAAGAAAGAAAGAAAGAAAGAAAGAAAGAAAGAAAGAAAGCATGCTGACTCCTTAGAGGTTAAAATTACGTGTGTGTTGTGGGGCTGTCCATAATTGTGCCCCCAAAAAGGCATGTTGAAGTCCTAAACCCCAGTACCTGTCGATGTGACCTTATTTGGAAGTAGGGTGTTTGCAGACATAATCAAGTTAAGATGGTGTCATTAGGGTGGGCCCTAATCCATTATGACTATGTCCTTATAAAGAAGAGAAGAGACACAGAGACACACAGGGAGAATGCCATGTGACAACCTATGCAGAGGCTGGAGTAACAGGCCAGGCCAGTGGGGAGAACATGAGGACAATGGAACCTGGACTGCCAAGCTCCAGCCCCTAAATCCCTCCCTTCTGGTTCTGGAGGCCCCAGGGTTACTCTCCCACACGCTAACTGCTTTGAAAACCTCATTCCTCAACTCCACTCCATCATGGGTGGCCTGAAGAAGCCTGGACAGGAGGTCCTGGGTGACCTGTGAGAGCACACACCACGGAGCTGGGTGCAAACCTGCAGAGCCAAAACCTGGGGCTCCTGACTTCAAATTCACCTCTCACCAGTGTTCAAGTTCTCTTTCCAGCGGGAAGTCTGCCCGGCCTCAGAGTTGCAGCCAGCAGAGTGGCTCAGCATCCAGCATGAAAACATTTGGGAGACATCAAGGTCCATTTAACCAGCACAAGAGTCCCAGCCTTCTTTGCTGTGTCAATGTGAGCTTCTCCAAGCCTCAGTTTTACTTATCCATGAAGTGGGTGTATTAAGGTAACGTTAAGTGGCTACAACAAAGAGACCCATGATAAATCAATGCCTTAAGGAAGATCAAGTCTCTCTCTTTCTTGTAGCAGTCCACAGAGCACATCCTGGGCTACTGTTTCACATGGACATCCAGGGACCCGGCTCCCTTCACTTTCTTCCTCTCCATTCCTTAGGACATTGTCCTCCTTGTCACAGACACATCACAGGCCTGTCCTTGTTCTGACTCCTGAAAAAGGGAAAGAGAGGGTAAACCAGGAGCCCCACAGTCTGTCAGCCTAAGCCTCTGATGTAAAGAGTTCACATCATTTTTGCTCAGTTTCCTTAGTCACCTGTCTGTTCCCAACTGCAAGTGGAGTTGGAGATGAAATCTGGTCATGCACCTGGTAGAAATGGAGACCGATTTTGAGGGACAGCCTTAGGCTGAGCAGTTATAATGACACCTCCTTGCAGCTGTGCAATAGATACAGCTAGGGTACCTGGCACCTAGTAAGCCCTCAGTAGAAGTGCTCAATGTTACTGAGCTCAGAGCTCCAAGGGACCTTAGAAACTCTCTGGCTCAACGTCCTTATTTCTTTACAGCTAAAGAAACAGCCTAGAGAGGAGCGACACTGGGCTGGGTTCCCCATGGGTAAGGAAAAAAGTTGGTTCAGAATCCTATCTGGCCTGCAGACCCCGTCCTCACACCTTTTATTTCAAAGTACCTGGTCTAATCCCACTAGGGTCTGGGCAGAGAGCAGGGTCCAGATGACCTCTCCCCTGGTCTCCCAGGGTTGTGGGACATCATTCTAGAGGGACCCTGTGCCCCACAGCAGCGCCCTCGGCTGGGGACCACACAGCTTTATGACTAAGTAGGTGTGGCCCTGGTTTCCAGGACAGGTGTCCAGACTGCTCTGTGACAAAGGGCCACGCCCGCCCCTAGGAGGGGGATTGGGCTGCCCCCTGGGGATGCTGCAGTAGGAGCTGAGGATGGCGTGCCTGGGCTTCCTCCTCCCCGTGGGCTTCCTCCTGATCATCAGCACCATGGCCCACGGAGAGTACGGTGTGGCCCACGTGGTGTCAGAGAATTGGAGCAAGGACTACTGTATCCTGTTCAGCTCCGACTACGTCACCCTCCCCCGGGACCTGCACCACGCCCCACTCCTTCCCCTGTATGATGGCACCAAGGCACCCTGGTGCCCAGGCGAGGATTCTCCCCACCAGGCCCAGCTCAGCTCCCCCAGCCAGCGGCCCCTCCGCCAGACCACCGCCATGGTCATGACGGGTAACTGCAGTTTCCACACGAAAGGCTGGCTGGCTCAGGGCCAAGGTGCCCACGGGCTGCTCATCGTGGGCCGGGTCAGTGACCAACAGTGCTCAGACACCACCCTGGTGCCCCAGGATCCCCGCCAGCCCCTGGGAGACCTCACCATCCCTGTGGCTATGCTCCACTACACTGACATGCTGGACATCCTCAGCCACACTCATGGGGAGGCCATTGTCCGTGTGGCCATGTTTGCGCCCCCTGAGCCCATCATCGACTACAACATGCTGGTCATCTTCATCCTGGCTGTGGGCACGGTGGCCGCAGGTGGCTACTGGGCCGGCCTGACCGAAGCCAACCGGCTACAGCGACGCCGTGCCCGGAGAGGAGGGGGGCCTGGTGGTCACCGTCAGCCGCGGGAAGCAGCAGCAGCTGAGGGAGCCCAGAAGGAAGATAATGAGGACATCCCAGTGGACTTCACACCGGCCATGACGGGCGTGGTGGTCACCGCGTCCTGCTCGCTCATGTTGCTGCTCTATTTCTTCTACGACCACTTTGTCTATGTCACCATCGGGATCTTTGGCCTGGGTGCTGGCATTGGCCTCTACAGCTGCCTGTCACCCCTGGTGCGCCGCCTGCCCGTGTGGCAATACCAGAACCCTCCACACGGCCTCTGGGTCTCTCTGCCGCTGCCCCTGCTGCTGCTGGCAAGCTTGTGCGCAACCGTGATCATCTTCTGGGTGGTCTACCGCAACGAGGACCGCTGGGCATGGCTCCTGCAGGACGCACTGGGCATTTCCTACTGCCTGTTCGTCCTGCACCGCGTGCGGCTGCCCACTCTCAAGAACTGCTCCTCCTTCCTGCTGGCCCTGCTGGCCTTTGACGTCTTCTTTGTCTTTGTCACCCCCTTCTTCACCAAAACTGGTGAGAGCATCATGGCGCAGGTCGCTTCAGGCCCTGCAGAGTCTTCAAGCCACGAGAAGCTGCCCATGGTGCTCAAAGTGCCCCGGCTAAGAGTCTCCGCCTTGACCCTGTGCAGCCAGCCCTTCTCCATCCTTGGCTTCGGTGACATCGTGGTCCCTGGCTTCCTGGTTGCTTACTGTTGCCGCTTTGATGTGCAAGTCCACTCCCATCTGGTCTACTTCGTGGCCTGCACCGTGGCCTATGCCGTGGGCCTGCTGGTCACGTTCATGGCCATGGTCCTCATGCAGATGGGCCAACCTGCCTTGCTCTACCTAGTGTCCAGCACCCTGCTCACCAGCCTGGCTGTGGCCACCTGCCGCCAAGAGCTCAGCCTCTTCTGGACCGGCCAGGGCAGAGCTAAGATGCTTGGGCTCTGCTGTGCCCCTTCAGCTGGCTCTAGGCAGAAGCAGGAGGGTGCAGCAGATGCCCACACAGCCAGCACACTTGAGAGAGGCACCAACCGAGGAGCAGGGGACTTAGACAGCAACCCTGGAGAAGATACCACTGAGATTGTCACCATGTCTGAGAATGAAGCCACCAATCCAGAGGACCACAGTGATAGCTCCGAGGGCTGGCGTGATGCCCACCTGGATCCTAATGAGCTGCCCTTCATCCCCCCTGGGGCCTCGGAGGAGCTGATGCCACTGATGCCAATGGCCATGCTGATCCCACTCATGCCCCTGATGCCCCCGCCTTCAGAGCTAGGCCACGTCCATGCCCAGGCCCAGGCCCACGACACTGGCCTGTCCTGGGCAGGACTCCACAAGAGGAAGGGTTTGAAAGTAAGAAAGAGCATGTCGACCCAGGCTCCCTTGTGAACTGGAGGCCGTGAGACACACGCCTCTCAAAGGGCTGGTGGAACATTGCAGAGCAAAGCCATGCATGGCAACAATAAATCAGGGCATTAAAGAGATTTCATATCTACCCAAGGAGCCTCTCTGTTTGTTGGGAGTGCAAGAGAGCAGCAACCACAGAATAAGTGTGTACGGGGCTCGGAGGGTCCTTAGGAATGGGCACCACCCCCAAATAATGAAGGGGGAAAACTGAGGCTCCAAGAGGGCCTATGACTTGCACAAGTTCAAGCAGCAAGGTTGGGATTTGCATCCAGGGCTCACTGGGCAGCTACTCCCCTCTACCTGCCTGCCCAATCCCTTCCCAATCCAGAGTGGCAGCTTCTTAGCCTGGCACACAGCCCCCCATGCCATCCCTGACACCCACCCTAGGCTCATTGCCCATCTTCTCTCCATGCTCAGGTCAGACGGAACTCTTTGTCCTCCCCACCTGCTCTCTCTGCATATGCTGTTCCCTCCAGCTGGGATGCACTTCCCTCTCCAGACAGAAACACTCCAGCCTGGCTCCCCGACTCACTGGAAAACTCCCAAGCATCCTTTCCTCCTCAGCTCGCATCCGTTCTGCAAAACGTCTCTGCTCAAGACTCCCAGGCAGCAGCACCAAGTCCGGCACGTTCCTGTGTGCACCACCCATTCCATCTTCAGACATCGAGTATGCCCCTACGGTGTGCACCGCCATGTGGTGGGCACGGGGAAGGCCTCTGTCTAGCTGGGGGAGGGGTGGGCAGACAAGAAACAACCTTAGAATTGTCTCAAAGAGGGCAGGAGGGGTCGGAGAATTTGGGGCCAGGGTGGAAGAATTCAGGAGACCATGGCCTCCCTCACTGACTCTAGGTAATGTTTAAGCCTCTTTTGGTCTCTGTAGTCTTATCTGCAAAATGAGACTTATAATACCATGTCCATCTGGAGGCAGGGGCATGGACAAGATGACCTCCTAAGGACTCTACAGGCTTTTTGGCCAGGTAGGGTGCTGACGTGTTGCTTAATCAGAGCAGACAAACTCTGGGATGAGAAGGCTTCCTGGAGGAGGCATTTTTGGAGGGAAGGAAAGTGTATCCCAAGAAGCAGTGTGGGTCAGTGGTTAGGGCTCTACAGCAAGGCTGCCTATCACAAATCCCAGCCCTACCACTGACATGGAGTATCTCACTGAGCAAATGACTTACCTGTTCAGTGCCTCAGTTTTCTTGTCTGTGAAATGGGATAACAGGACCTACCATCTGGTTTTTGGGAAGTTTGAATGAGTTGGCCTATGTCAGGGGATTGGCACAATGCCCTGCCTGTCCAAAGAACCCCCTGCACGTGAGCTATGTTTGTGTTGCTCTCCTAGTGAAAGCCTTGCAGAATCAAACCCAGTTCCTACAAGGCCTTGGGGTTCCAGCCCAACAGCCCTCTTCCACCCCTCCAAACCCCGACTGCCACAAGCACACGCCAGACCCACCACACCCCCCGTGCTTTTTCCTCTACTTGGAACTATCTTTCTGCCCCTTCCTTACCACGCCCCATGAACTTGGCCTGGCTGGCTCTTCCTCTTTGCAGCCTTTCCTAAAGCAACCCTGTCTCAATCACACGACCAGGCACCGTGTTTCTTAGTTTTCCAGTCTTCCGCAGTAGAGGGTCAGCTTTGGAAGCCAGGGGCCTTGCCCATCTTGTTCATCTGTGTAGTTTCAGGGCTCAGAACAGGTCCGGAAGTGTTACAGGTGCTTGCTTTATTTGCTGGAGGAATGAGTGGATGGATGAATGAATGAATGAGGAGTTGGCCAGCCTGAACTGCAGAGGAGGGGATACTATGAGGGAAGGCCCCACTGCCCAGGCCACCTCACAGGCTTCCTGCAGGGCCTTGGTCCGTGTTGATGTGCGACTTGGTGGGCCTGGGTGGGCTCTGGAGTAGGGAGAGAGGCCCAGAGAGGCAGTGCAGGTGGTGGGCATCTCAAAGCCCCACATGCTGGGGAGGAAGCGCAGCCCCTCGGTACACAGCAGCTGAAGGCCCCGCTAGACAAGGGAAGCTTGGAGAACCTGGCCAAGCCACTGCGGAGGTGTTGGCAGCCCCTCCCACTGGAGCAGAGGCCATCTGGCCTGGACAGAGGGCCCTCCACAGGCCCTGGCTCAGCCCCAGCCTGGGCAGCCTCCCTGCTGCTGGCCTGCGTCACAGGGCCTGCCGAGGGCAGCTGCACCCTCTGCCAGGCCTGAGGGGAAGGGCTGGACAGAGCCGAGGCCTCCTGGCCCCCCAACCCCCACATCCCCCAAGGCAGGAGGTCAGGATGAAGAAACTTCTCTTTCCCAGAAATCCGCAGTCTGAGGGCTCTGAGCTCCGCAGGCCTGCAGGGAGGCCAATGCCTGCCTCCAAGGAGAGGGGATGCAGGGACAGTCTGGGTCGGGAGGCCTCCCCCTTCCCAGCATCCAGACCTGATGGGGAGGTGAGGGCCTACAGGGCCTGGATCTGCTGCCTCCACCCCTCTTCCCCAACCCCCAGCTTGCTGCACGGTGCTTGGGCAGCAGAACTGAGGTGCTCCCAGGGTCCAAGGCCAGGCCTGGGGTGGACAGCAGCCCAGGGTGCAGTGGCATCATGGTGCCCAGGTAGCTCTCAGCTCTGCTTCTCACTGGGAAGTCATCCTGGTCACCCAAGTTTCACCACCCCCTCCCCATGCTGGTTCCCCAGTGTGGCCACAGCCAGGACTGACCAGTGTCGGGGACCTCTATGAAGGACACCCCAGCTCCAGAGTTCCCGAGGTCTCACTGGGGCCACAGCCGACTGGCCCTGAGGCCCGGCTTCATCCTTACCCTCCTGCAGCCCTCACTCCTGTCAGGCATCTCCCCTGAGACCACTGCCCAGCACCTCCCACCCAGCATGCTCCTGAGGCTCATTCCCAGGGAGCCCAAGCTAAGACACAGGGACAGCTGCCTTCTACGTGTGAACTGGAAAAACTATGTGAGTCCCCCCACACACCCCTACCTCCTCCAAGCTCTTCCGCCCTGCCCAGGAAAGGAGTGTGGGGATGGGGCTGGAGGCAGGTGATGGGCAGGACCTTTCTTCTTCCTCCCAAGAGCACTCGGCAGCGACTCTGCCCGTTTCACAGATGGGGCTGGGCAAGGACTCTGGGTCTAGAGGCAGCTTGAGGGTTTAGAAAGAGCTACCCAAGCACGGCTGCAGGTCAGAATCACTGCAGTACCTGCCAAACATCTGGATTCCCGGCCCCACAGATTCTGAGTTGACAGGTTTGAGGTGGGAACAGGCATCTGCCGTTTTGAGGGACCCCACCCCCACCCCAGGCTGAACACCTTTAGAGTCTGGCTTCAGCCTCTTGTCTTGGCAGGGCCAGGAGGAGGTGGGGAAGAGGGAGACCAAAGCGTCAAGGTGCCGGGGGCCCAAGGTAGGTCCTGCCTCCAATCTTGACACACACATTCAGCTGGGGGCCCTGCCGGCTCCGCTCCCTGAGCCCTGGGCCCACCTGACCACACCCGGAGACTCAACCTCTACCTTGCTCCCCTGGCCAATCCTGGTCTGGGGCAGGAAAAACTGAAGCAACTTTACCAACCAACAAACTTCCCTTACCGCCACACTTCTCAACCCCTGATCCCCATCTCTAGCATGTCCTCTGAGGCAGACTTCGTCCTGTTTTGTTCATCACGCATTGGACCCGGCACATAGTAGGTACTCAATAAAACATCTGTTGTATGAATGCACTGGCTGGATGAATGTCCCCCTTACTAACTGTGTGACTTTGAGGATGCAAAAGTCTCCTTACCATAAAGTGGGCGTAATAACACTGCCTGCCCCAGGGGTTGCGGTAAGTAATAAGCCATATGGGTGAGGAGCTAAGCCCAGTGCCCGGCACAGAGTCAAGTCTCCTAGATCTTGCCCTGCTGCCGCTGCTGTGCCTTCTGATGGCCCAATGTCTCTGCTCCTGCCCAGAAGACTCCTCTTACTCTGCCAGTTCCCTTCCCAGAGGACAGGGCCAACTCCAGGCAGCTTGACCACGCTGCCACCTGCCAGAGGTGCCCAAAGCTGGAAGCCCCTGCCTGAAGGCCAGAGGGACACAGGATACTGCACGTGTGCGTATGCACACATGCATGCACACACATATGCATCCATTCACATACACATGGGCACACACCCATGCTGCACACTTCACACACCTACACACCCCATACTTGCACACACATACACCCATGTGCACATCCACACACATGCACCTGTACTGAACACGTGCACATGCCCTTGTGCACACCTGTGCACACCCAGCACGTGCACACACACACACACACCCCCCCCCGGGCTCTGACCTGCTGCGTGTGGTTCCCTACAGATCCAGCCTTTCCCCACCAGGCCTTTCCTGGGCCTACGGGAGTGGGGGTGCTGATTCCTGGATTTCCCACCCTGAAGGACAGGGTGGTCAAGGCCCCCCACAGGCCTACCCCTTTCCTGATGGGACAGGTCCCCCTTCGAGACAGAACTCACTGCCCAGCTGCTCTGAGGAGTGTGGTTCGAGGACGACCTCCTGAGGGCACCTCAGCTTTCTAGCCCGGCTCACTCACACTCTTCAGGGAAGGGGGCACAAAGGGCCGACTAGAGGCTGAGCAAGACAGGGGCCCAGGCCCTGGCCATCTCCACCCAGAGTGGTCTTTGCTCTGATCTCATGGGCTGGCAGAGGCAGCACAGGCCTGTGTCCCAGGCTGCTGGCTCCCCATGCTGCAAGCTGCTTCCTCCTGACTCCACTGCTAACCACCATAGCATCTGCTTCCTGGACAGCCTCACCTGTGATAGGTGAACCGTCAGATGGGACCAGGGCAGGAATAGCCTCCTTGAGGCTGCCCCCAGGGCCCCAGGTGGCCCAGCCCCAAGGCTGAGCTGTTTTACGCAGGCCAACTGACATTTCTGTCCGTGGCCTTGGTTAATCCCAGCACCAGCTTCATGAGGCATGGGCTTGGTTCTCTTTTGTTCATGAGAGGGTGCTACTGGAGCTTCTGGATTTCTGGGATGGTGGGGACCAGCAAGGACCTATGAGATGCTGTCCTCAACAGATGAGGAAAGGAAAGCCCAGAGAGGGCCAGGACCTGCCCAAGGTCACACAGCAATGGGA